AGCTTGCGAAAAAACCTTATAAGCTTACTCGGGTGGGACTCGAACCCACGACCTCCTGCTTACTAGTTCAGATGTCTTAACTACTCGACCACCGAGCTTGCTGGGGCGGCTGGCCAGTCCGAGTCAAATGAAGCAGCAGCACCTTTTATATATAATTAAAGGTCAATGTATTTGTGGAAAGTCCTCCGCCTGTGAAAGCGGCACTGACCAGAGGGTTGAGTTGATGAAGCGTGGAAACGGGGTGGTTGGTCTTGAACTCGCGCAAATAGGGTGGTTGGTCCCTAACTCTCTTTTACATACTACTGCGGAATAAAAGGCACTGGGTTGCTGTTTCTGCGCGACTGCCGATAACCCTAGCGTCGTGGTCACTGACGCCCCCAAAATAACAGACTTGCAACACTAATTCGCCTGTCACTGTGGGATGTTGACTCCGCTTAATCTGTGATATAAATCAATCGATGTAATTTGTCAAAACAAGGTTTCTAACATAACATTCTGAAATATCCGTGTGTTATACAAAGTCATGTACAGTGTATACAATATGCAACGTAAATTGACCCAGCATTACAAAGCACATCGTTAGAACACCGCCTTCACTTTAGCAGAAATTACAGCAAAATAATCATACTTATAAACTTTAGTACTAGAAAGATAAACCCACGACTCTGTCGAGATTATAAGCTATCACCAGCAGCAGAACTGCAGCTTCAAATCAGTCACTTAACAACGTTAATTCAGGCGTACATCGTCGAGGCTTTCTGCTGCAATACCCGACAATGAGAAAACAAAATGTCGAGCACGGTTCACATCTCAGGCCTAGGCAACGCCCACTGATGAATAAATCATGCACCAAGGTCAAAGGTAAGCCTAATACGGTTTGACAATGTGCCGCCTCAGTGCGTATTACAGGCTGCTGTCTTATCACAATTCGGAAACCTAAATCTTGCATCGTGTTGATAGGTTCATTAATTGGTCATAAGGAATTGTTGATACCCAAAGTGAAACTGACTGCTGTCCAAAGGAGAGCTTGGACCAAAAGCCCAGAATGTAATTCATAACAGTGGTGTGAAACACAACTCGGCGAACGCTTTAAACTTGATGCTTATAACGAACATGAATGAATACCGTTGGGCAAAAACCAACGCGCGACAAAAAACTGCCAGAATATCCAGTTTGTAGCTCTTTCCAAGATTAGCTGTTGATTTTTCCTAAAATTTATTCTGTATGTCCACACGTAGATAGATCAGACGCTACAGTAAGGCCTATAATCATATTCATGTCATGTCGATTTTTTGCACTGGTTTCTATGTCCACTTCATAAAATGAAACGAATGGCCATAATGGGCTTATGCTCCAGCCGTAGCTCGCCCTTGGGGGATCGGCAGTCGTGTTTTGTCTGCAAACGTCAGTCGAAATCCATTGACGCAGCTCAATTTTAAGACCTTTAACCCTAACCCTCCTCAATCCTTCACCTGTTGGAGGACTGAGGAGTGTTAGGGTTAACATAAATTTATCAGCCGAGTTATGACTGGTTTATTGAATGGTACGTTAATGGGCCGGGACGAAGCAATTAACTACAATGGCCAGCTATTATTCTCCCCTAAGCTATCGACTTGTTACCAAGTCTAATATTAGCGAGGCACACGTGATGCGGCAGCTGCATACAGTCGAGATACAGTGAAGCTTGCTGGCTCAATTGAATTGAAACGACTGAGGTGTGACCCCAATGAGCTGAGCAAAAGGGTCCACTTGTCAATGTTGTTAGCAAATTCGTTGAGCTTTCTGAAGGAGAAAAGCCTAACCTGCAGTGTTGGAATTCCAGACTTTGGCGTCAAAGGAGCATTTCTCTAACCATGGATGATGAAAGTAGAAGGATATTGCGGGTAAAGGATGCCATCAAAGCCATCCAGGATTTCCCCAAGCCAGGAATTTTATTCAGGTTGGTTAGCATGAGCAGAAATGGCATGGCAGTACAGTGCAATTTACCCGGCCCAAAACTGCGTAAGCGGTTGCGTCGTCATCTGCTGCAGTTAATTCTAGGTCCCATTTATCATGGGTCTATTTTGGGGCTATATAGGCTAGCCGCTTAACAGGTAGTCACTTGTAATTTTTTTACTGATAATCAATGGCTACTTGAACATGTTGAAGAACCCTGAGTAAGTCACTACTCTGTAATGTCTGTGTTTTTTTTTTCATTTACATCTAGGCCTATATTATAGTATTACTATTAGGCTATTGTACGCGGCAACTGATCTGGTAACGTAAACTCCACTTTTTAAATCAAATGGTGTAATGGAGGTTTCAGACCATGAGACTGAGTATTTTTTAATCTGGCATTTTTACTCACCAATCTCTTGCTTCTATGTAACGATGGCCGCACCATTTGTGTTAATTACATTGTGCACTCATTGAATTCATTTAAATGAAATATGGGTTAGCACTTCTGCATTTCAAAGCTTTGAAGAACAGAAAAGTGTCCTAAAAGTCTTTTGAGGGGCACCAGTCAATGAAGGCTGAAATGAACATCAGTGGTCAACCCTGGGATGAATGATGAATCCTTATTCTGATTCAATTGGCCATCATTAGCTCATTCAAACTATTGTTCATGAAATACATTTGCAGGACTTCGGACTTGCAAAAACCATTTAAAACAAAACCAGACCAACTTTACTTACTCTTTGCCTGACAAAATGATTGCTAAATTTTTGTGAGGCAAAGCCAAGGTCCTCAGAGTCTCAAGAATGTAGAAAACTTTCACAGAGTAATAGCCTCAGTATATTTAGTTCATAGGATGAAACCATACATGTAGGTTCCCTCTGCCAGTCACTGGTAGATTCAGTGGGGACGAAGGGGCCTTTCCCCTGCAAACAAAATGTTTAGGCCGACTTCACTGTAAATGATGTGAATTATACTCGGTTTACCAGTGGCTGCCTCGCTCCACTGGCCAATCATGCCAATGGCAGTCTGAATCTGCCCTTGCCAAGATCTACTGTTAGGAGTACATCAGTACATCATGTTAGTCTCAGTCTGATGGCATGACCCCCAATCCACTTTTGACCCCAGATGGACTTGAATTCAGTTGGTTCCTTGGACTCAGTTAACCATTTAAGCTTCTTAAACTGTTTTGTGTTTGTGCAGGGACATCTTTCCATTGTTTAAGGATCCTGTAGTGGTGTCCGATACAATCTCCTTGTTGGTTGAACATGTGCGGGATAAGGTTGGCTCTGTAGATGTCATTGTAGGTAAGATTTTGGTTTGAGTTCATGTTTAATTCAGCATGTAACAACTGAGACATCACACAGGGTAAACCTAAGGGAGCCGCTCACTGCAGGGGCAGCCAAACCTGCAAGACATTTTTAAGGTGGCAAGCAAATCTTGATTGATTTAAAACCTTGTATGTGATGAAATAAAACTGCCACGTTGATATGTGATGTTCAGGTATGTCCAAAGCACATAAATTGCTGTGGCTTGAAATAAAACTTGTGTCTATGGAAGCCACTGGCTAATGGCTATGCCCACTCACCATAGACATGTGTGTTACCTGTAGCTGCAGCCACTTGATTCAGACATTGTCTACTTGACATCCAATGAGTCTGTAAAATGTGATCATTTTGACCCCTACAGGTCTGGAGTCCCGTGGCTTCCTGTTTGGACCTATGATGGCCGTCCAGCTAGGCTGCTCATTTGTACCAATAAGGAAGAAAGGCAAACTACCTGGCAAGTGTATACAAACCACCTACTCCCTTGAATATGGCACGGTGAGAAAGTTATTTGTGCTGCTAATGACAATGGCATTGCATTGTTAGCATCCGTGGGTAGACTAGACTAGGAGGGTATAGGGGCCTGTTTGTTTCACGTAGATCTTGATCTGTGATCCCATGGCTGGTTCACACCATCTATGAGATGGGTTCTGTTGTCAGCGAATGATGGATCACTCATCCCGATCTGGATCCACATGAAACAAACAAGACACTTAATGATCCAGTAGTGTTTCACTAGACATTCTTGATGGTCCCTTTTTAATGGTGGAAAGGAATGTATTGACTTGGATTTGTACAGACATGTACGTGTACCATGTCATCCGTGTTCACTGTTGTAGTTTGAGAATGGACATAATGTGTGAACAAAAAGAATTTCCTTTTCATCAACCTTCTCTTTGCTTCTCGGATTAGTCCATATGGAGATGAAAAATATTTACAGAAAAATATGCATATCTTTTGGAAGTTCTACTTGACTGATAACATGGAGCTTGATCAACAACGGGCATGATCTAGAAAGGGTAGAGAAGTGTAAGGAACGCCCACAATGCTACATGTACATATACATGTACCCTAGGCAGGTGCTTTATAATGACCTGTTAATTGATCTGTACCCGTCTTGTCTTGTAGGATGTCATTGAAGCCCAGGCAGATGCCATTCAGCCTGGTCAGAAGGTGGTTATAATGGATGATCTCTTGGCCACAGGAGGTATGCATTGTTATTAATTTTTTCGATTTATTAATTTTTAGTCTACTTTTTTAGCCACAAATACCATTACACTGTGTGTGTTAACCCTAACACTCCTCAATCCTTCACCTGTTGGAGGACTGAGGACTGTTAGGGTTAAACAACTAAAGAAAATACTGAACAATTGCCAAATGAAGTCTTTAGTGTTTGTTTAACCATCCAACTAAAAATCTACCTTTCTCAGCAAAATACCAGTTGCATCTGAGTGATTCTGGCCACATTTCTCTGAAATGTTTGACTGGGGATTGGGTTTTGTTTCTTGTCTACAGGAACTATGAGTGCAGCTGCAGATCTTGTCAGCAAAATGGAGGGCAACATTGTGGAATGTTTAGTCCTGATTGAACTTGTTGACTTGAAAGGGATCGGCAAAAGTCAAACATCCCTTCTTCAGCATTTTGCAGTTCTGACTGGGATTTACATTCCAAATCTGACCCAATCAGACAAAAACGAGTCCGAAATCACCAGATCTGATCAACTTTGGATCTGCAGCTCTCTTTACAAGAATTGTCCATGATTCAAAGCAATAGGAACCCTCAACATGTCTTGCCCTCCTGGTGTCCCTTGTTATCGGGATGCCCAACTGAGGGCAAACATCAAATTTTGCAAAGTAAAGGGAAGCAAAATTGCAGCGAAAAATGCTTTTAAGACTTAGTTTGTGGGATCTATTGATAAATGTCCGTTTTTCAACTTTTGATTGCCCAATCTGGTGAAGTGTCATGTCCGACTATTAGGTGTCGGTCCAGTGTTCAGTGTTTAAGTGAACTGTCCAGGGACCATCATAGTCGCTGTATGCTCAAGGAAGAACACTTCACTGGTTTGAATGTGTGAATGGAGCAGAGTGTTGGTGTCAGACTTTCGACTGAATGAGCACAAACTGATGACTCTGTGTAGCAAGGCATACATCAGGCCCAAGGCAGGAATGGTGCAGATCATCAATAAAACAGAAGCTTTACTGTGTTGCAACTGAGAATACAGATGATCATGTCCATATGGTGAAGGGATGGTCTTCAAATTTGGGACTTGCTCTTTGAGTATTTTACGGAATACCACCCATTCCGATTGGAACCTCAGCTGTCAGGGAACAACCATTAACCCTAACCCCATAGGGTGTACGTAAAATCGTATTGAAATTGGAGGATTTGGGACTGTCAGGGTTAATTTATTTCCACAGAGATGTATTCTTATTTGGGAACATTAATTTTATCAGAATATTTGTTGATATAGACAACTCAGATGATCAAATCCTTATTCAAGTTCTCTGTTTTATCAGCCATAATTATCTGTTTTAATAGGTGACATTTGTTTTTTCTTGGGCACTTCATCTAGTCAATTTCTTATATTTGATACATATTTTCTTAACATTTGTATAAGTTTCTTACATTAGATTAAATATGCAATTCTGGTAAAAAAAATCCTTTTTCATTGTGCCTTCCTCAGCCTGTTGGGTTTCAATTGATCCATGGTCGTTTTTGTTGCTTTTTTTTAATTGTGCAAGTGGCCTAAGGCCCTAAATCTCTGAACTTCAGATTTTTCTCATTTTACCTTCTCACGATGCTTGGTGAAGTTGTTTGATCACTGTCTATTAATAAAAAGAGTAGACTGGTGAGAAAATTTCAGTATTAGTTTTAATCCAATTGGACTGGTAAAGCATTGTGAAATTGCTTAAAGCATGCTTAAAGAGATCGCCTGGACTTACATGTATTTTCAAGTTCGCAGCAAAAACCGAGGTAAAAAAGTCAACTAATTCATTCAAATAAAATACTTACGAATCGGAACTTCTCATTTCAGCGTCTATCATCGCTTTCCCCATGACGCAGTCGACTGTGTTCTTTCCAAACTTTTTTTTTTCGAAACGCATTTAAGAGATCTCATCAGGCAGAAACGTCTATAGAATGAAAACGGCTCGGCATTTGAAAAAACAACGATCGTACGCGTCTTCGTGCAGTCAGCAGAGGGCGCTATTTTTAAACGATGCGCTAGAACCGTAAACAGCAACGGTGCGTCGAGAGGTGAGATTCCTGTAGGCCCTAAAGACATGATGTACCTGTACGAGAGGACGAGAATTTCTGCATCAAAGAAAGTGAAAGAGATGAATTTGTTCTCGCATTTGAAGTCATGGCTTTTTGATATCGTGGGTTTTAGGCCTGTCAGTCTTCAGATATCCGTCTAAATTGGGAGGACGCCATGGGTCGTCGAAAGAAGCTTCGGGCGCGAGCCCCTAGCAACGGACTGCTGTCGGTGTGTACTAGCGTCGGTGATGACGAGGTTGAACATTTATTGCGGGAAGCACCGATAGTGAGTAAAAACTAACTAGGGTCATCTGTCTGTTTGCCATCAGAACAGAGGGCTTTTTTGCATTCCTTTTGTTAAGTTGAACAACGAACCTACTGCAAAAACCTGAGGGTGTGATATTTCACATCATGACTATTCCGAGTCCAACCAGGCTTGGCCAAGCCTGGTTTCAACCCAATCTCAGACGTGTACTTCAGGAAATAGGCTGTAGGCCCTTCATGATTTAAAAAGTGCATGTGCATGTACAGGATAATTTAACTCCTCATCTGATGACGTCATTATCACAAGGTAAATCTTGGACTACAAGTTCAACACTTCTTTTCTTGTTATTCTGTTATAAGTAAAGTTTCAACTCCATGAGATAGGCCTAGCGCCTATGTACTTCAGGAGATAGAGGGCTTTAAACAGTAAATTTTTAAGGACACAGCACTTATCACCTGGTGACGTCATCATCATATGAGGTCAAAATTTGCCCAAAGCACTTCCTTTCCAAGATATCAGCAAAGTTTGAACCCAATTGAACATACACTTCACGAAATATGGAATTTTAAACTGTGCACCTTTACTTGTCGTAAGATGAGGCCATCATCACATTGAGTCAATTTTTGTCTAAAACACTCCCCTTCTAAGATATCTAGAAGGTTTGAACCAAATCAGAAAAGTACATGTACAGACTCGAGATATAGTGCGTTAAAGAGTGCACCTTGTGACTTGTCACATAATGACGTCATCATCATATCAGGTCTATATGCCCGTCTAAAGCACTCCCCTTCTGAGATATCTGCAAGATTAGAACCCAATCGGACATGATTTGAACTTCACGAGATATAGTGCTTTGAAAAGTGCACCTTTAATGTCACATGACTTGTCACCTGATGACCTCAATCGTCTAAATCACTTCCCTTCAAGATACATGTACAGTATCTGCAAGGTTTGAACCCAATTGGGCATATACTTCAGGAGATGTAGACTTTTAAATAGTGCACCTTTAATGTCTCGTGACTTGTCTGCTGGCGACCTTGTCATCACATGAGGTCAATCTCCATTTATAAACCTTCCCTTCCTAACTATCTGCAAGGTTTCAACCCAATCAGACATGTACAATACAAAATACAATACAAAACATTATTGTTGTCCTTTTGGCATTCCATACAATGCGATCTGCTCTCGGCACCACATTCTCGGCATTTTGCCAGGTCCTGAGTACATGTACTGTGCGCTGCCAGCCACACGTTACAGATAGATACTGAGTGTCCGTGCAAACAGTAGCCAATCCACAGTACGCGAAAGGGATTTTTGAGTTCACAGATATTGTAAGGGGGTTTTCGCCGTCGGCGCTTCATCTGTGTGAAGAAGTACACCACTTACGCACTTCATGCAGTTGACTTCAACATTTTAGCTATCATCTCATGAACAATTCATGCTTAAATCTGTTACGGTTGATTTTTTACTGAATTTTGAAGACTAAAAGAACTTTTTATCATAACTTCTGATCTGATGACGTTATCGGCCCCCAATTTTACACATGTGGTAACTGGGTTAAGATCACTGTCTACATCAATTTTCAGGCAATTTGGACAAACTTCACCACAGACACCTACTCAAAATTCATTGTTCAGAATTTTTAACCTGTCACTAGAGGGCGTTCGACAATTACGTGACATCATTAGTAGATGATTTGAAGAATGTTATACCCCAACATACTAACACCGTTGAAAACAACTTGATATCTATTACCGCTTTTAAACAATAAGCCCACTTCCGGTTTCGACTGGAAGGAAGGGTCACTTGATTTGACCACACAAGATGCATTTAAGACCCAATTTTACTCTGGCACTTGCCAGAAACAGAATGCTGCAGGAGGCCACGATGGATTTTATATGGATTTTTACAACACTAGCATTATATTTAAATTTTCAAAATTTAATAATAAATCACTGGGTGACGTCATCATGACGTACTTGTTTTAATATTACATGTATCTTTGCTTCCAGGTCTTTCCTTTGTGTAGCTTTGAGGATGACTGAAGATCACTGAGTTACTAAAATTGGGCCTTGAAAATGTTTACAAAGTCAATGGGCTGAAATAAATATTAAAAATTAATAAAAAGCCATGGTTTTGAAAACAATTGGACATATACTTCAGGAGATTCAGAATTTTAATTTATGCCCCTTTAATGTCACATGACTTTTTGTTTGATGACGTCATCACTAAATGAGCTCAATATTTGCCTAAAGCACTTCCTTTCCAAGATATAAGCAAGGTTTCAACCCAGCACTAACACCGACAGACTAATTCCATTGAAAAAACTTAATACCTATTACCACTTTTAAACAATAAGCCCACTTCCGGTTTCACCCGGAAGGAAGGGTCATGTGATTTGACCCACACAAGATGAATTGAAGGCCCAGTGTATACTCTGGCACTTGGTGCAAAAAATGTGGGAAGCTACGGTTGATTTTATATGGAATCCATAAATTTTAATGGAATATTTAAATATTTAGAATTTAATAATAAATCACTTGATGACATCATCATGACATAATTATTTTACTATCATCTCTGCCTCAAGGTCTTTCCTTGGTGTAACTTTGATGACAATTGAAGATAGCTGAGTAACCAAAATGATGCTTCAAAAACGTGTACAAAGTCAATGGGCTGAAATAAATATTGAAAAATCAATACTAAATCACATGATGACATCATCATGCCATCATTTATTTACAATAATTGTTGTATTAAGGGTCTTTTTAGCTGTCACTTTGATAATGATCAAACATCACCAAGGCTTCAAAATAGTGGCTCGATAACGCATACAAAGTCAAAAGGCCATAAACCGGTTTGCAGAAACACTGCTCCTTTAAGTTCATGTCACGCGATTTGCGCTTAAACTGAACAATTTTAATGAAATATTACTTCATATTCGGACTCTTAGGCATATTTCAAATAAAATAAGAGGCGTAAAGTACCCGATTTCTCTTTCGTTCTTATAGTAATCTGAGCTGATGCAAAGGACTATTAGTTCACTTTTGTTAAGTAGGAAAACGTGTACAAAACCTATAAAATGGAAAATATTGACCCTGAAAGTTAAACTTTCTAATTATCCAAACTCTAATAGCAACTCTCCCCATGTCATGAGCTGTGTTTCCAAGTTTTGTTTATCATTTTCCAGCAGGTAATCCATGAGCAGATAAGCCTGGTAAGTTTGAGACGGACTCCCAGCAGCAAACAGGACAGAAGGATGACCACTCCTCAAAATGACCTCAACGTCAGGGAATCTTTAACCTCAAGCAGACACGGTCAGTTGCCAGAGAGTACAGACAGTCATCACCAGGAATTGGCTGTGGTACAGAGGCTTCCTTTCAGTGATGAGACCCTGTCGCATTCTGCATCCAATTCGCACTTGCCAACTCCAAACATCAAATTGCCGATTCTTTCCAGTAGCACGCACGGCTATTGCAAACCAGCCAAACCTTGCCGTAAGAACTCCCGTGGGTCACCTCAAGATACCACAGCCAACATCACGTCAACTCGAACTAAACTGAGAAGTACCTCAAGAAAGGAAAGTCAGGGGCAGAAATCCTCCAGTAAGCCAGCTCAGAGAGCCAGGAGTATTCCCATCCTGGCCGCGATAACACCAGACAATGTGGAACAGGAGAAACGGAAATTCTTTGACAGCAACTTCGACTATAATCCACAGTTCACTTATCGGAGTGCCCCCTCTGCAGGAATTCTTGAGAGATACAGCAAAGCAAATGACAGACTCATTAAGTCGGTACGTGAGTAACAATCCTACCCACTTCGGGCCAACCCCCTCCTCAATTTCCAAGTACAAAATAAAATAAACTATACAAAAGTTTTGAATTTACATTGAAGCAATAAGTTTCTAAAATTGCAAGCACCCATTGCTGGCAGATGCAATAGCCTTTTCCATCATAGTGTTTTAAATCCAGGTGGTTTATTCTTTAATCATTCTGTTATCTTTATATATTTTCCAACCAGGCCACCCAAATCTTCAGAGCAACCCTACAGAGGTTTAAGACCTATAAGCAGTTTGAGGCCGCAACAGGTGGCCGCGCGATTTCTGTTTCCCAGTTCACCGCTAAGTTTCAACAGTACCTAGCCCAGGAAGGCCTGACCAACAAAGTTGCCTTGAACCTGAGTGATAGCCTGGTAGCTAGGGCATTAATGAGTCGGACAAATGGACGGCCAACACTCAACGCCAGACCCAATGCTCTCAGGTCCCAGTGGTCGGATGGCCTTCTGCGTCATGAAATTGGTAAACTGAAGAAACTGATTCAAGAGAAACATGTTAACTAACATCACCTCAATGAAATGTACCGTTGCGGTCCCGGCTTGTTGAAAAACAGTGGAAAAGTTGTACTAACTTGCACTTGACCCTGTCGACACTTAGATACGCTTAGACGTGGAAATGCAAAGGAATTGAGTTGTCTTTCTTCTGAAAACGACTTGTATCAAGTAGAAAAGCAAACTAAAAACAATGATACTCACTTGACACCAGATATTGGAGGAGTTTGCTGGGTGCAAAAGGCAAAGTTTCTGACAAGATAAAGTCTTTATGATCCAATTTAGACAAAGCAAATTTGGTTTTTCTTTAGTCTATTTGGTATAGGGACCAGTCACAAAAGATCTTGTCCCACAAGTAAAACCTTTGCCATATCTTGCTGGCTTTCATGCATTTATATCACGCATTAACTTCTTACACTTCATTTTGACCATTAACTTGTTTTTTTCCCTGTAATTTTCCTTTTTTTCTCAGGAACTCATTACATAAGAAGTGCCAACAATCGTGAACATCCTTGGAACACAATGAAAGGTCGTAAGAAATATGGACTGAGCCCACTCAACCCAACTGAAGAAGGCATTGCAAGTATTCACAGTATCTTACTTAGAAAAGAGCCATTCTTATGGCGATCAGCAATGCTGTACTATACCACCTACATGGCTTCCAGGTTATCCTTTGCCGATCTCTTCAAGGACTTGGAGACATACATGAAAGACCCTGAGATTCGTTGGGACTACTGCCTAAGAGCTAAACGAGGACAGTCGGACACCTCCAAACCAGGTCAGTGTCTCAGGTCATATGTATGTTATCCGAACAGGGTCATGTATATTTTGAGCATGATGGGTCAATGAACACAGCCGCATGATTGCTTTGCACTTTCAGTTGATCCAGTATAAAAATTGAAATCACCAATTTACTTCCCTTACGTGGAACAATTCTTCACAACCTTGAATTGCAAAGAAAAGGTGATTGGTTGATGGCAGAATTATTGGCAAATTGTTTGAAGTCAGATTGGCAGATTTTTGAAAAGATGAAAGAATTACACAGATCGACCAATCATTTCAAACATACATGTACATAGTCCTGGTTTGCTAATCCATGACTTGTGGTTCTACTGTTCTATCCAAATGAAACACTTTGAAGTGAAACCTACCATGGTTCCCCAGAAGTAAGGGAGGTCTTCTATAGTTACACAAAACTTCTTCTGTAGTTGTTACTGTTCATCTGGTAGAGTGTTGGAGTGGAAGACTTACATGTATCTTTCAGTTTCCCTGCACTATTGCCCTGCTGGATGTACAAGAAAGAGCCAGTTGTTACCATGTGTAACACCTTTAGTTGAATTCCTTTCCCTTTGGCCACTTCCTCATTGGTACAAATGCAAAGTTGTTATTCCCTTTAGTATTTACAGCAAAACTTGCACACGATATTATCTCAACTGTTATGAATAAGCCTTTTGCGAGTTAACTTTGACCAAAATCTGGTACACTGAGTTCTTTAAAATTCATGTGAACATAACAACTTGAATGCTCCATATTAAAACCACTGTTGCTATACCTCATGATTCGGGGCAAGCTTTTGCTTAGTTACAAAAGACGCCTTGCAACAATACACTATTCTCAATGGATAAGAAGGATAGGAACCAGTCCATTCCAGAGATGGTGGTCGCTTGCCCCGAATCACAAGGTATAGCAACAGGGTCTTTAGTCTGAGGAATTCAAATCGTCATGCTTATGTGCGATCAGACAACTCAGTGTACCAGATTTTATTCAAATTTAACTCACACAAGGCTTATTCAAAGCACAAATATTTACGGGACATGACAAGTTTGCATTAAATCCATAATCTTATGATCTGATTTCCTTTCCTTGAACCTTGTCCTTCAAGTTGAACCTGTGTGTCTTCTCCCCAATCTTTGTTTTTGGTAGCTGTTCATCTTGCTCTTTCATGTCACATTTGGCTCAGGTTGTTTTAACAAAGATCAAGTCTACCTAGAGGGCGCCCTTCGTGTGTTACGCTACCGCCGAGACATTGACTTTCACAGCCTGTACAAGCTGGGCAAGGTGGCTCTGGAAGACGTGGATCATCTCAAAGCCATGGTGAACCTGGGCTCTGGGGATCTCAAGATCCCAACATTCATGACTGATATTGATGAGTACAGGAAGCGATTGGACTGTGTGGTTTCAAAGAACGGACTAGATGATGCTGATCTGGCTCTTCTCTTTCCAGGGGAAGTATCGAGTGGCAAGAGTTTTGAGCCAATAACTGGCCAAGTAGAATGTCCGGATTTGCACGAAGCTGGACTTGTTAGCTTAGAGGATGAAGTTGTAGAATGACAGTAGCTGTTGCCTTTTTAGAGGGAGAACTTTTACTGACTGAATTCAGGACACTGTAAGTGTTGGACCTGATTGTTAAGTTCACGTACTGTGTCTTTATTCGCTGGTGTTTATCAACTTGACATCATCACCATAAACAAAGAATATTACTACCTCTGTAAGTGTTAAGATTGAGTGTTCCAAAAATGTCTAGTGAAACAAGTGTTTTGTGACAGTTTGGACATGTTACATGTAATGGATGCTTGGCTGGCTGGTGGTAACATCTCAATTGTAGTGCACCAGTGAAGGAGGCTTGGTAACCAGCCTGACTTATTGCTGCACTTACTTTCATACAGTGTACTCCATGCATGTACATGTACAAAGAGGATGCTTTGTCATGCAATATGAAGGTCTTATTAGGGCTGTGCCGAATATCTGAATATCCGAATAATCAATCGATTATCGAATGTTTGAATATTGTTTTCCAAATTTCAATATTCAAATGCAAAATTCATGAAAAGGAAGGGCGAATTTTCTTTTGTTTAAAATGAGAAAAGTTGCACAATGGAAACTTGTTTCAAGCACATTCAAGTGAAAAGTGACAGAAATCTTACAACGATTCAAAAAGTAAATTATTCATTAAAAAGTTTAAAAAGGAACAGAAATTTTCAACAGGGCAAGAAGTATTGTTTGTCTCTTAAATTTTGCGAAATTGTGGCTAGAGATACTCCTGGACATAACAAGCTATTATAGTGATTATAATGTACAATTGTGTATGTTTTTGCAACTGATTTTGTATATGGTTTGTTTATCAACACTCTGTCAGTCGTTACGACCAAATATTCGATCAGATTAAATGTCGAAAATTTGAATAGTGAATAGTAATAGTGACTTATTCGAATTGACTCAGCCCTAGGTCTTATTCAGCCAATATATTTTGTATGGTCTCACCTTTGGGATTGTGGTCAATAAGTAAGTAAGCATAACCAACTGTATTTCCATTGGAATCTGAAGGAGGCTTCAAACAGGCATGCCATGGGAGATGTTGATATGTCAACCTCTCCCCTCAGCTTCTCCCTTATTCACCAATCAAGGAGTTATTTTTATACAGGACCATTGACAAGCTACAAATGTAGGTCGTATACTGTGGCCTTTGATGAAGAGATTTTGAATTATCTTCCCAGAAGCTACTTTATGATATCCATAAACAGACGCTGCTTGAAACCCTGTGTGCAAAGCCTAAGAAAGATTCCACACCAGTCTCTGGAATCTTTCCAGTTGAGACGGGTTGACAAAGTAGTTCTTTCCTTTCCTTTCACCTCTGTGGTCTGGGTTCGATTCCCAGCTCAGTCCACATTTGGATTGGGTTTTGAGTCCTGATTTTGTGGGTTTCACCCAGAAATTTCTTCTCTGGGGTTTCCCTCCCACCTCTAGAGCTGTACCAGTTTCTTATTGTTTTCTTTCCATAGATGCAGGTGAATGTGGGTCATTGGGCAGTTGCACGTGGTGCCCTAGTATGCCATTGGTTCGACCATGCTTAATGTGTTTATTGTACAGTGCATTTGAGCATATATCTGTATGAAATTTTTGCTTAATAAATGAATAATTATTATTGTTTTTAGATGGCTAATAAGGCACTGCAGGGAAATATTATTTGTGTCCATGTATGGGATTCTTTCCATGAAATGGGAAGAAGTCTATATTGCTATTTTGCTAATGGTGTATTATTTTTCATTGGAGCACTAAACGTGATGTGACTTTTTATCCAAATCTTTTACACATAACTTCTGACTCAAATGGCTTACTCAGGAATAAGGCCAACATCATGACTATGACGTTTCTTATCATTAATTGTGTGTTTGGTGCATGGCGTCTGGATTGTTTGTGAAGGAGAATATTCAAGGGGCAGGGTGTGTATTTTGAAACATTATAACATCCAATCATAGATCAAGAATGATTCACACTGATCGTTTTGTCAAATGCTCACTTTTTATCAACTGAAATACCAACTTTAAATCAGGGATTTCGATACATTGACTTGACTCTGGGATGTAGCCAGAAACTCAAAAATGGTTTCATGTTTCCTGGTTGCTTACTTTAAATGATGTCATTGGAAATTTCTTGTACATGAATGCAATCCCTGTGCAGTCGTAAGTTGAAATTTCCTGCCTCTATGGGCCTGTTTGTTTCACACCAGTCTAGATTCTCCAACACTGGTTCGCTTCACCCATTAAATGGGTTCTGGTGTCAGTGAAGTAACAATGGATTGCTGATTGAGATTTGGATCTGTGTGAAACAAACAGGCCGTATGTCTCTTAACTTTAAGGAACAGTTTTAGATTGCCTGTACATGTACATGTAGGTTTGTACTTGCAGTCAGTAGTTCAGTGTGAAACAGCTGCCATGTGGGATTATATGTTCTGCTCATATGTTTAATTTTGACATCTGATATCAATCTATTTGTTTATAATTTTAAGTCTGTCACGTATGAATGATTGTATTTAAAGGATGTTCTATAAACAGCTCTTTTTGAAAAGGTTAAACTTGAATCATTGTCACTCAGTTCAAGAGGTTTCAATGGCTGTCAGTCAAGATTTTGTGATTTTTCCTGCCTGAAGAAAGGCATGTTGCTTTGCTCTTGTTTGAAAAATGATCTGATTTGGATCAAAACCCAACAGGGTGCATACGGATGAAATATTAAGAAAATATGAGATTGACAATCCCAAACTGTTCACAGTTTGTCATGTTCTTGTACATGTAACTTGCACCGTTGATATGTTCTTCATGCTACATACCAAACATGCAAAAGTTTGGGTCTAGTGTATCAGAAAGTAGAAAAGTGTACCACCCCGATAGTGAAATGGAAAAACCAGCAAATGGAAAAACCAGTGAAATGGAAAAACCAGCAAATGGAAAAACCAGCAAATGGAAAAACCAGTGAAATGGAAAAAACCAGCAAATGGAAAAACCAGTGAAATGGAAAAACCAGCAAATTTAAAATGAATTGCAAAAAGTTGTTTTCATTGTTTCATAAAGATTCTGAAAAAGGTTTTATAATCTCACACATTGTATGCTTTTAATTTCAATCCAACTACATGTACAATTAACAAAGGCAAATTTCAGGATAAAATAAACTGAAATTATTTATTTCAATTCTTTGTTTGTTTATTCAGTTCATATGGAGACTGTGTGACATTTCAAAGTGAGGTTTTTTTTTAGATATTGCAAAATACCTTCATAGCATGACACGATTATGAGACTTCATAGCAGAACATAGTTTGTTTGACAAGAACGGTAAAAGGTTACATGAAGGTGTGATTTTCTGACATTGAAATCACCAGAAAACCTGAACAATTGTTTGGGCACTTTGATTTCCTCAACTTACAAATCCATCTCTGGGAAGTTTTGTCATTTTCTTTACCGCTGATTGTCAGATGTAGTCAGATGGAAATATAATCAGGCTTCACCAGTGTGTGTTGGCCCGTAGGTTTACGGCGCTTGGAACTGAGCTCTGAACTGTGACACCTACCAAGAAAAAGTTAGGCTTTCCATGGGCAGACCAACCAGGTCACACCCCTCAAAGAGTTTATTCACATCAAACCAATCTAATTACACTACTCACATTTACTGTGCAAAGAAAATTACATTTTTGCCTGACACAGACCATAGGCTTTATGTTTTGTGTTTTTAGCCGATGCGTTTTCGTGACGGATCACTGGTTCTGGATGATAAAAGTTAAACGCAGGTGTGCCATGTGAGATGCATGATGTCGTTCACTAAATCAGCTTTGAAAATTGTACTCTACTTCAGCTCTGGATTCACTGATATGCTCAAGGTTGCACTGCACCAAATACACGCTCACAGGAAACGCTGCAAAATCAGACCAAAATAGTGCTACCTGTTGACTCCTGGGAAGAGGTAGGCCTCACTGGAAATTCAAGATTATGGCCAGAATTACACTTTTCATTTCAATTTTATCGGGGTTAGCCACGCAATATTTTTCTATTCACCTTTCCCGAAGATATCCCAAAATAGTAGTAATGCGCTCAGTTTTGAATGTAGCCACCTCCCTATATCCAAAATAGGCCCACAGGTTGGGGCTTTTGTGAAATAACACCAAATGGGAAACTACCAGTCCCAAATTCGCGAGTTATAAAAATATCTCTACAATCCTTCCTGATTATGACCTGTGTTATAAAAACCCTGTGGGATCACAAAATATTAATGAGCTTGTGCGCAGAAATCCAACGATTTAGTGGATGCATCCTCAACCAGTCTATCTTACTCGATTGTCAGACAGTTTGGTGTAACCATGGTAACTGGGATTTCCATACCCTTGATACTGCTGAATCTGCAGTTTATGTATTGCTACAGGGTATTCCACAGGAGATAGAATGCAGCCCTCCAGTTCAACCCTCTACTGCCCCCACTTTAATATCTCACATGCATCAGTACGTATCAGTAAAACAGCTATAACAAGGTCCTTAAGACTTTACAAATTAACTCGTTATAATAGTTACCTTGTATTATCTATAATTGAAAGCAGAAAACCAAAGACTTGAGCCTACAATTGTCCTCGTTATAAATATGACCTTGTATTAACAGGGCTGTTCTAATGTGTTCAACTGTAAATTGTATTTTAAGATGTGGAGTCATCAAAAAGTCATGGCGTGCTCATGAATGCCCTGGATCCCCGAATGCACTCATGTTGATCACATTCCTTAAACCAATGTACAATAAGATTTTTTGGGAATTGTAAACGGAAAAAAAAATTCACTCCTGAAAACCGGAAAAGTGTTCTTTAAATCCTTTCTACAAATCTTTAGAAGTGGTGATGGACGGTGTATTGGAAAGCTTGAGGCAGGGGTGCCAAATGCAGTCTCAAACCAAGTCAAGCTCACTGGGGGTGTGAAATGTATTAGCTAAATAGCAAATGATAGAGTTAAAGCAGGAGTTGCAAAATCTATTAGTATGAGTTTATTGAAAGACCATGAAGTACTTAAGTAACTACATATAACAAAACTTAATTTCTACAAAAAAAGGAAAAACTGAACTAACATTCCCAATACATGTACTCAAGACTGATAACATGTTAAAGCCACATTTTTACCCGTCTCATAGCAACAGCACAACAACAGAAAGAGATTTTTGGAAAAAAATGCTGTTTTAATGTGATTTTGATGTAAATTTTACAAAATCCCATACTTATTGAGACATTTTTATAGACAAACCTGAGGAGATGCCATCCCTGTGGGCCATCCCACTTATACATGGGTGTTACATTGAGCATGCGCTTGCACTGATTTTGGCAAGTCACAATGCCCTTTCTGAGAGAAATTTGACACGTGTGTACCACCTGCATGTAAATAGGATGGCCCTGCAGTAATGGCTTCTATTCCTGGATGCTGGATTGGTCTAAATCGTCACCAATGATCGATAAAAATACCAGTTCTGCAACACTAAATAGAGATGTTAATCGTCAATTAATTGACCAAGAAAACCTCTGCCAATGTGGACTGTTTGCTATTGTCACGCATCCACAGTTTTCATCAGAAGGTTCTAAAGGCCCCAGAGAAATGTAGTTGCCATTTAGAATATGTAGAACCTGGAAGAATGTGCAGTTAGTTGAACAAATGGAAAATTTTACCCATTAAAAAAAAACCATTGATGTAAATCAATTTTTTTTTAAATCATCTAATTTAAATTGTAACTTTCATTGGTTATTTAAAATCAAGGTGGTTTGAACCGGCCAACCCTGGAAGACACCCTGTTGTTTTCCACACATACTAGGTATGATCTACTTGTACAGGACAGGTTCTGTGAGCAGAAACACTGCATTTCTGAGATGAACGATAACATCTGATTTCATTGGATGTCATAATCATAGATACCATTGATGTAATTATTGAACTGTTTGACGTACAGGTCATCGGCCACAGCAGCTTGCTGTACTGCAGGTCTTGCTTCATTGCTGCTCGGAATGCTGACAACTATATCAAAAAGAAGAGCCAATGTATTGGAATCAAGTAACATGCCACCCACGGCGAGATCAAGAATAAAATTGCTGGCAGAAGGAAAGCATTATGAGGGGGAGGGTGTAATCTTTATGGGGTTTCTCAAGCATGACGATAATGTGGGTGCTTTTTACATGATTTAGAAAAATGAAATAGTCCCCCAAAATGATGCTCTCATGTTTAAAAAAAAAACCACCAAAGAGCCTCATTTGGGAAGGGCACGGTTCCATTTGTCCCCTCCCCTCTCCCTGGATTCCCCAATGATGGCATCTACATACAAAGGAGTAGCACTTAGAATAAATAACTCCACACTATATATAATTGTTGTATCAGGTAATAAGTGTACTTAATCTGTTCACATTGGGGAATTGGACCTGTTATATTTCAGAATACACTGGCACAATGCATTCAACAAAAAGTAATTTGAAGTACGTACAGTCGGAAACTTATCGAAGGACAATTTATTGCCGTACACAACTTGACGTTCAAACCAAGGCCAGATGAGATAGTCCAACATGCCTGGCTTTGAACCTGTCAAAGAAGGAAAAATGGAACATGAGCTCACATATCTACATGTCGGGGTGACAGTGGGCTTCCCTTTTTCGTGTAGTTCAGAATCAAAAATTCATGTATTAATTTGTCTTGCACTGTAAACACTCTTATAAGAGGATATTTGTTGATTTCCTTAAATATTTCTGTCCATTTCTTAAACTTTTTCAGATAGAGGGCAACAGCCCCTGGATCTTTGCATGTCCACACAGTGTCTTTGGAACCTGCACTCTGTGGACACCTTTTGCTCTTGGGTCCAGTCAACGAATACCATGTTTGTCTACACTTGTCATTTCTTTACTCAAGAAGAGAGAGGGAAATGATTGTTATCAGAACATAGGCAGGGCATTATTACATCAACGCTGGTTTCTTAAGTTTAGTGTCCCATCTGTTGAATGCAAACTCATTACCTCCAAAGAATGGAGTACCTCTCTCCTGGAGTTTGTCTTCGATGACAGCGAGATGGGTCAAATATTCCCCAAACCACTTGTCTTCTTCCCCCTTGACTGGATAGTAAGAGGATTTGAAGAAAGCTGGACTAACCTGGGGAGGGAAAAACCTGGGGCATGATAACAAATAATACAGGAAATGCACCAACACTCCTATGTCCAGATGACATATCACACACTGTTTACTGTGGTGCAAGGTGGGACAGAATGAAGATCATCTATGTACATTTATCTTGCCATGTGCTACTACCATAAACACATGAATACGAGTAACTCTATTTCCAAAAGCCATTTTTTGTAAGCAAGATCAGTTTAAATCTTCTGGGGAATTATTTTCTGTAGTTGGTAACAGTGAGATTGCACCTGTTTTTGTCTTGTAATCGCATGTAAAATGTAACTCAAACGTCTGTCACTTCCCTTTTTGTGGCATATGACAGCCGTGCATATCTCATTCTATGATTTCCATTCTATCCCAGCACGCACTGCAGTAAACACAAGGTGTATTCAATTAGCTTACACTGGGAAGCCCCCTCTTATGGATGGTCCTGTATGGTTTGTCAAACAAGCAAGATGGAGAAAACATGGTTAAAGCCATTTGACCTGTAGAAGGTCGAATGCACACACTGTGATACATTGTAATAACACTACTAAAACAGATTTTCTAAATTCACGACACTGCCTGATGTCAACAGTGCGACTGCAGAAAGTAGTTTGAGAATGATTTTTGAGTGAAGAGAAAGTCTTTCAACTGTTTTAGAAGGCCATCAAAGGATACATACAATTCTCATTTCTTTGGGCCTCACCTCCCAAAATTTGCTGTCTCCTCCCTCCCCCTAAAAATTGGTTTTGGATCCACCCTGAACTGTTCATGAGGGAACCTGTACCCGGTAGAAATTGAATCCCATCAGCCTCTTGGAAGTAAAGCGGACACAATAGGAGGGCATTGTTATGTGTGGAGGGTTATTATGGAGCCAGGACGACCTGCATTTAGGTGACAACTTCAGCTACTCTTTTATTTCCAAAGTGAGCTCTGAGAACTATCCAAAAGGAGTGACTGACTAGCGCCCTCTATGGTCTGGTATATTACAGGCATTGTCTGAAGTGGGTAAATTTGAATGAAACACACCATACCTCAATTAATCTATGCTGGTTTGACACAGAAGAACTCAACTCATTTAACACTGCTATGTTGCTCATTGGTACCCAGGCCTTACAACAATCTGTGGTATAATGCAGTATCAGAGGTCCTTGGCCAGTGGATGGGAAGGAAAGACAGGCGTGGTGGTAATCTGCTTACAATGCTTTGACTTAATGCCATGATATAGGCTCGGCAGAAAGGTAGATTCTTGAAAATGTGTGTGCTATTAAGCATGTTGTGATTGGTAGACCCACTGAATTGACAAGCAAACCCCAATACCATAAATTCATTACCCTGTCAATTAAATTTAATTCTTTCTCAACAATTGCCTCTTTAATATGATTCAGTGGGAAATAATCTGTGAATTTTACCCCTTGTGGTAAGTTTATAAGAAGAAAAGAGCAAGTCTTTGTTGAAATGATCCGGTACCATACCTTGCTGGCGAAGTATTCCAGAACCATCTTGTCCAGTGCTTTCTGGTAAGGGTCCTGTGGCCAGAGAGGATTGTTGGTGTGTGCATCATTCAGAAACTCACAGATGATGGCCGAGTCAGTCACAATCTTGCCGTCACTCTCAAAGCATGGGGTAGTGCCCAGTGGATTCTTGCTGAAATACCACTGGGGTTTTCTCTTCAAGTTAATGTTGACAATGTGAAAACTACAAGAGACAAATTAAGACAGAAAAGACCTGATGAGAAATCAGTACTAGTAGTGGGTAGCAAGGCCCTGAAGTACTTGGATGAGGTTGAAGTGGATAAAACTTACGGTACTTCCTTTGCGGCCAAGACAAGACGAGCTCGATGGGCAAACGGACAAAAGCGATTGCTGTACAGGCGGACTAGGCCCTGCCCTAATGGAGGCAACAGGCCACCTGCGAAATGAACACAATATCACAAATTGGAACCTTATACATGTATAAAAACCCATCCATTTCTTAAGCAAATGTCTAGCTTATAACATAATGCTGAGCACTGCGCAAGGTACAAACTTCTTTACTATGTATTGTTTTAACATTACATGTACGGTTAGATCACAAAATGATAAATGGGCAAGGCCCTTCATTTACAATTGAGAATAGATTAATAATTTTCCCGATGCTTTACTTTTTACATGTTTTAACTGCAATGAATCCAAGATTGAATCATTCAAATTTTGTACGATAATACTCCTCCTAAAATGTCATGACGTACATCAAAACAATATTTCAAGCTAATCCCTAACGTTCTTATGGGTTGCTTGGCAGGGCAGCTATTTTGGGATACATAACATAATTTTTGTTGAGTACTCATTGGGCAGAGTTCATTTGAACTCCAGCAGGTCAACACCTTTGAATGTGCATGACGTGTGCTCTGAATGCCATGTGCATGATTTATATCAGGTTAGCAAGTAACTTGAACCCATAATGCTTTACACAGTAGTGCTTGTAATGTAATCCTGAATAGGATGAAGGGCACTATATTCTGATGATGGCAGGTTTATATTGCCCTTGACAACTTGATCTCATGTCCTGAAAAAAAAAATACAATGATTTGCTCAGACGGTGACTCATGACTTACATGTACTTTGTTTAATCGTTTCATTTCATTTCATTTATTATTTCGCAGGTCAAATTTACAAGGGTTAAAAAAGAAAAAAAAATTGCATACAGTATAGACATAAAAAGACAAAGTTTAAATGTAACATCAAACCTCATAAAAAGACTAATACCCTAACACCAAAATAGTTGCGTGCCCCTGCGGGATTACTAAAAGTGAACTAAATCACTATCAAGTAGTTCTCCCATAGCATGACTAAGAACCCTACCGGAAATTGCAGAATCACAAACATGGAGGTAGGAAAAGATTTATATGTTCAGAAACAGTTACTGAGATAAGCCAGCAATAATTCGATTTATCGACGACTGCGGTTATGCAGCAGAACTTGTTCTTCACTTGAGTTGTGGTCGTGTAATCTCGGCATGTAACTGAATACAACTAACTAGCAAGCTACAGTGGTACAGTTAGCGACTGTCACAGCCAAATACTGAAGAACTGTTCTCGAGTCTACAGTTTCTGAAAGGGCAAACAGGCCTACTAACCCTCAGCAAGGTGTTCTGTCTGCTCTGGCGAAAAAGGCATCTTGGCTAAAAAAAAACTCCGAAGTGCAGCTTAAACTACAGGGGACAGAGAGATTGCTACTTGACAAATAGTGTTTTGGTTCCTGTGTCGATGTGTATACACAATTACCGACACAGTGCAGGTGTCGAGGGCAAGGGCAAATTTCAACATCGGCACGTACGGTATACTTATTGTAGAATTGGCACATATGCACACGATGGAAGACTTTGGCACGTACTCTATACGTTGCTGGCCTATCGTCATGCCTACTGAACTTCAGTCACGCCGTCATCACCTGACAGAATGTACAGAACTCTGCTCATAAAGAGTTTTTTCTCGGGATTAGGAGTTGAGTGAAATAACTGATGCGCTTTACAAGGACGGAGGAAGTGTGAGGCTGGCCGGTGGTGAGCGAGGCTGATTGGCAATGTGTTCGGCCGTGGACGCGACGGATTGACAGTAAGCAAGCCCCAGTCCTCACTCAAATCTCTTTTGGAAAAGTCCATTTTTACATGCAATTCTAACTATTAGGGCCTATAGAGTTTACTCTCTCCCAATTTCAAATGCATCTGTGAAACATTGTAACAAAGTAAAAATAAGGTAATTAGCACCCCGGTGTTAGTACGTGAAGAGTTATTGTGTTTATCTCAGTTTGAATATTGATTTTATAGTAGGCCTAGTCCAAGTAACTGGGACTCTCCAAATCGCCTTTTTTAAAACCGAGTGACTTGAATTCAACAAATCGCCATTTGTTAAAAAGGCGATTTGTAGACTTCAAGTTAATTGGACTAGCGCAGGTCCTACTTTAAAATTAATATTCGTTTAACATGACTAAATGAGACATAAACATGATTAACACTAGATCTTCAAATCTACAGTGCAATTATCCTTGAACTGTGCTTATGTAAAAGTGAATGAACAATGACCAAGTCAGACGGATTAGTCCTTCAGTGTTGAAGAAACTAAAGGAATAATGAGGAATGTAAAATTAATTGATAAAATCCACTATTTGCAGTGAGTTAAATTGGGTCATTTTCTGCATCAGATTTATTTTTGTAATGGACATCACAGGCTTAACATGTGACTTAATATCAGAGTTATTTGTTTTGAGATAATGTACATATACTTAAACTAACTGTTAGCACGCAATGTGTGCTATGCTTGTTATAGTGAGATAAGAAATCAGTGTTTGTCTGCTCTTGGATCACACTGCTGACTTCTGGGTGTTCAGTATTTCAAAGATGCACTCTCTACAGTTCACATCATGTACATTGTACAGTAAAGGCTTTTCATGGATTGATGATTTGTTTTTCATGAAAAGACATGCAGGTATTTCTAGTTTTTAGCACCTCTTTTCGTAAAATTATGACAAAATGATGAGGACAAGTGTACCAAAACTTGGACTGAAAGTAAACCATAAACTCTCTGTTTATAAATTCTTCATAATTAGACTCTGAGCTGTGCACTAGTCAAATGTCAGAGCTCAGTTGAAATTCTGAATACATTTTCACCAATTTACATCAACAGCAAGTGAAACCAAGTTATTTAAATTTCCAGTCCATGAGAAGACAGATGCATCTATGCCAGTCTGTCTGTCTTTATGTACTCTAATGAAAGTACTTGCTTTTTTTGCCTTGCAGAAATTCACTATCATTTACATCTGAAGTGTCCTACTACTGAAAAGTTATAGTTGGGACATACATTGCCATTCAAAGGAATTAGCGTCGCAGCAGCTTAAAAACATCAAAGTCTACCCGGGTACTGACTACATGTTGCTATACTAATAAATAAATTCATATCTGTTACTATGGCAACTCATTTGATGATTGTATTGGGAGTGGTGGTCGTAAGCCTCATGTGCCTCCCAGCCATCACAGCTAACCTTCAGTTCAAAGATGTGATGTACAAATCCAGAGAATCTCCGTTTCATGATTTGACTTCGATGAGTCACAAAGTGTCGCCTCAGTGCCGTGCTGAGGTGGACCGACTTCTCCAAGGTAACCTAAAGACTCTGGCGGAGGATGTTGTACTTGGTGAGTATTCAGTGACAGACATGGTCCAGAATTTGCTGTGTTGTGGTTGAGTTCACTACAAGCCCTTTCACAGTTCCCGATTAAAAGTCTTTTCACAGGTCCAGTCACAACTTATGACGTACATGTAGTCCTAATAGACTTGAGTGCAACCTTGTTAATTTAGCTGTTCTAGTTTCCGTGTATTGCCATGTTTTGTTCTTTTCAGATCTCAACTCTTATCTTCACTTTAATCTGTACTGCCCAGAAAACATTGCTACATATTGTTTTTGTTTGAGTTGTACATGTTTTTGAGTCATGCTTGAAGGGTTTCTATGTTTTTGGGGTCTTTATTTTTTAGCTCTTGATGCATTTGGCAAGCCTCCTGCTGGAATTCTTCAATTGAACACAGCCTGGCTAGGACACTACGATGAATGTGTGGCCATAGAAGGATTCAACTACTGCTTGACTGTGTTGTCTCTGAATATCACCAAACTAATTCCAAAATCGGTACAAAAACAAAAATGGGTTTGTCTTGTAAAATGGAGGGAATGGTGTAACCCTGGGAGTATTAATCTTCACAACTGTTAAACTATTTCTTTTAATGAACTGACAACCCTGATGTTGGCCTTAAGAAAAATGAGCCTTTTCTGAATGAGTGATCATCGTCATGCTCAAGTCTAACATAAATGTACACAACATACAAGCTAATTTCTTGATTGTTAGCCTGTGAAACCTTTGTACGGTATTTCACATTTATGGCACCAACACCTGAAAAAATCTCTTTTTTGTTAAAGAAGTACATATCTTTGGACTTGAAGTGAAATTTAGACTAGTTTTATCTTTTTAAGTAATTGTTTTAAAATTTCAAATGAAACTGATTTCCCCTCTGCAACCTGTGCAGTTGTCAGAGTCTATTTTGTTTTGTCAATCAACTTGGTGTGTGTTTTCAGGGCAATGCATCATCATCAGGGCCGCTAGCGGGGTTGGCTGCCTTGAAACAAGTGAATATTTCTTGGGGAGTTTGTCCACCTGCCAACTGCAGTGAGATGGATGTCTTGTCGGTCCTCCAGGATCTTTTGGGTGAATGCTGGAATCCCGGTTGACATATCTTTTGAGAGAAAGGGTTTTAATGTTTGGAACAAAAACCAAACACACAAAAAGAACAAAACAAAATTCATCACTATCATAAATTGTTTTCTTCATTTATCTCATGAACTTCCAAAATTGTGAGATATTTAATAAATATATTATAATTTCTAAAAATTATTCTATTGGATATCTGCCACTGAACCACTCTCTACAAACTAAGAAGATAACTAAAAATAAGTACTGCCAAAAACTTTCAAAAGTAAATGTTTTATACATTTATGAGTTGTGATATTTCAAAGATGCTTAGGAATCAGACTGTATTTTACAAGTACATGTACTTCAGAAATTTTCTTAAAAGAAGCATCGGTTTTTCCTTCTTTTGGGGAATGTTTCCTACAGATGGCCTTAATTTACTGGAGAGGTTTGGTATACCTACTGATGCACTGACAGAAGGGTCAGCAATATGCACCAAGCACCCAGCAATACCATATAACACTGGATTCATCTTGACAGTGTAGGTTTCTTGATGTGTTAGAGTGTAACATTTGCTGTGTAGCCAGTAATTTGTTGTACATGTATATATAGATGGAAACTTGTAGACCATGATGAAACATGAACTTTGACAAATTACTGTTTACTGTGTGGACCTGTGATCCAGCAGCCATCTTAAACCTGAACAATGCTATCTCTAGTCTGAGAGGTACAACAAGGTCAACTTTGATTAATTCTTTGACCACGGGTAATTTTCGATAAGAATATTGTGTAAGTTCAGGTGAAGACCTTACATAAATATGAATTTTTAGTTGAACAATGCAGCCTGCAAACTTTGGATCATTTTTTCTTTGTTCTACTTATGGAATCATTCACTTCTCTTGGCAATTTCCTAATTCGTCTATTTTCTTCTTTTTGGGAGGCGTTGGCACAGCTTATTATCTTGTTGGATGGACTTTTGAAACAAGGAAAAATTCACTTATCAACCATATATAAGTTAGTGTGGAAATTGTAGGGACTAAACTTGATCGTTCATTTGACAGACCGATAGTACAACATTTCAGGTTACCAATTACAGTCTAATTTTCTATTTCAATTTTTCAGTCTTAAATTGATAAATAGTTAACTTTTGAAGTTAATGATCTTTTCATTGGCTTTCCGAATGGTAAGAGAACCAGCACAGATTTTAAAGAGTTAGACAACACTGCATACAGCATTGGTCTTTATTTCTGGCATGATAGTTACTTATAGATTCTACTACTTAGTGTATCAAGTAGTTCTGTGAGAGAAAAACTTCACCAGTCTCCGTTTTGGTTACTTTAAAAAGGGAAACTGAAAAAAAGAAATAGCCGTTTTAAAAGTTGTACTGTCTTCCCCAAACAATCAGGGAATCGCTGGTACCTGTTGTTTCATTTCTGTGATAAAACCTTAGATCTTGTGTGTATTGGAAAGGAGTCTTTTGTTTTAAAGACTGCATTAAGGGCCTGGGTCTATGACACTTTGGATGGAGCACAACAAAAATTTAGAAATAATGTGTAAATTCAACAATTCTAAACCTCAAATAATGTGCCTTATTTCAAAGTCAGTGATGTTTCAAACTACATGTTCAATATTACACATAGTCATTGAACGTTTGTTTGTTTCCCATGACCTCCAGTAAGTTTTGGTGAGTTACAAATCAGTAAAAGTCAGTAGTTCATGTATACTTTGGGAAACAGGGATTTCGAATTAAGATTAGAAGGAATACACCTAGGTAAAGGTAACAATAAATGGAACATTATAACATGAATAGGATTATATAACTTTATAGGTAATAAGCATGGAATCTCTTCCTTACATACATTGATTGTGAAAGTAAAGGTACAGTTATGATGCAATGATCCAATAACGTAGTTCATTTAAACCATGTACATCTTACTGGTACATAATCGGGAATTACATTTGTCTTTCCCAGAATTCTTTGCTGTGCTATTGCATCCCTGATGATCATTGGTGCCTTGTATGATGAATACCTGAAGCTCCAACTCAAGAAGTCTCTCTATGTGACACTGGTAGAAAGCCTCCTAACACCCTTCAAGTTGCTGGACGATACAGACGAGGTTACTGAAGAAACTGATGATGTACCCTTACTTAATGGTGTGGGAACTGAACACTCGATAAACAGAGAGAGTAACTCTCCAAAGAAAGAGAGTAAGTGCAAGTCTACCAAAATCCTACATATTGATGGATTTTGAAAGATTCAGGACTCTACAGCTCGGTAACAGTTACTTCATGTGGTTTGCACTGTATTCCAAACAGGCATATGAGATAGCGTAAACTTAATGATGTCCTAATAATGTCTAAAAGCACTGCATATAGGTTCATTCACATTTGGTACACACATGCACAACTGTTGGAAATTTTTTTTTTTCCCGTAACCTCATCTCCTGTTTGCTAAGTGCTTTTAATCAGTGTTTTGTTAAAGCATTTCCTGAGTGTGCATTGTGTACATAATGGTGTTGTATTCGAGTCCCTCTGGAATTTTTTTAAGGATTTTTGAGGAGAAAACTTTAGATTAATTGAAATGTTTGTCATTACTTTGGGATTTTGATTTTATAGTAGGTTTGCCTACACCATCATAAACATTAACAATGTATTCTCAATGTGGTCAGACAGTTTCCAAAACATTCACATCCTTGCTCGGGTGGGGTTCAAACCTATGACTTCCAGCTTACTAGTGCAGATGTCTTAACCCAGAGAGAGCCAGTTTAATCTCACAGCTTCATCTTACTTGGAGATATCACAGGTCCAGTGCTATTGCCAGGCCCTTGTATTTAGCCAAACTTCCATTCCAGGAGCCTTAAACTGATGTGAAATTGATGAAGCAATGATTTGTATTTTGTGGTGATATTTTGGGCGGTAGGCTTGGCTGTCCGATTTCTTCTGTGTTTTGCCCTGAACCGCAACCTGGCTAAACTGATGGACGTGAAACAAGGGGATAAAACCATCAGTGCCCTCAATGGTATTCGGGTCATCAGCATGTCATGGGTCATCCTAGGTCACACCATCGTATTTGGTTTCCTGGCCAACATCACACGTAAGGAGAATACTATATACTCTTAAAGCAAAAGTCTCAAGTGTTACATTTCATCTCCATGTTAGACTTGTTATGCTGATTTCTGAGTTGATATGTACCCGGGCAAAACAGTCGCTCTCATTTGGGCATGAGGCATAATTGCTTATAAGTTGGACATGCCATATTTCTCAGAAACATATCCCAATGTTTGAGGCTAGAGGCAATTTCAGTTCATATTTACTCGATGATTTAGTTGGTTACTTCTGGATATGAATTGTATTCCAGATGTCATTATAAATGTTTTAAATCAGAATTGACAAATTGGTTTATTTCTAGTGAAGGGCATTCCATACTTTCGTTTCAAGTTGTTGCCTTGTTTTCTATTTGACAGACAATGCCCCAACTATCATCAGTTGGATCAAAGATCATTTTGGCTTTCAAGCTGTGGCTAATGCATTCTTTGCTGTCGACTCCTTCTTTTTCTTGAGGTAATTCAGAGGAAATTTTGACACCGCTCTCCTCATTTACAGCTCTAACTCCTGGGAGAGTAACTCCTGGGAGCCTGTTTATGAAGTGCAAGTACCACTATTTCACTTTGTCCCCCAGTTTGAGCCTGATAGCATTGGGTTTTTTTCATCATACTTTATATTCAGTGGACTTGCAGTCTGCTTCCTGTAAGCCTCCTAATAATGTATGTCTTCTTTTTGTCCTATAATTTAAGGTTGAAAGATCAAATTAAGATACCATTTTGTACAAATGATGTTTAGGTTCAGGACTTTTAACTTTCTGGCTTTTCAAAGTATGGCTTCTTCTTTTCTTGGGATTGAACTCTTTGACAGTGAAGTCATGGAGTGATGTACATATTGTCCTGTTTTCCTTTTCAATCTGCACAGCGGGTTCTTGTTGGCGTACCTTACCTTTGGTCGTTTTCGGGAATTAAGGACAGTCAAGACGTGGGCTCTCTTCTACTTCCATCGCTATTGGAGGTGAGCAAGACATTAAACTCATCGTAAGGAGGATTGTGTTCTGTGCGAAATGTGGATGAATCCTTCTGTGACTTCTACTTTCATTGAATGTTACAAAAACTGGTTTGACCATCAGGAAATGAGATTATGTGACCTCCTATTTATATTGATAATTTGACAAAATAATTCAAAATTAGACATTGTTGACAGTCAAATTTGAAAATCAGTTCACACTTTGACTTTGATGATGCTTCAGGGTTGCATGTCTTACATTTTTTGGTGATTTGCCTCCAATTTAATCACTTTTAGATTGACCCCTCTTTTCGCTTTCGTCATCTTGATCTGGATGTACATACCACAGTTCTTTGGCGAGGGTCCAATTTGGCAACAGAATACCCTTAGACCATTGTGCTCATCGTATTGGTGGAGTAGCTTACTGTATATCAGTAACTTCTACCCAACCACTTTCCTGAGTCAGGTAAGAACTCCCTTGTATTAGTTCAAAGGACCTTTGAGACTGTAACATTTGACCACTGGTCATTTTAATATTTGCACTGTTATTGGAGGTTATTTGAGTACACCAATCAGCAAGTTCCATTGTTTGGAGTATCACATTTCCTTCATCTGAAGTGTTGTTGGTAGTTGCTGGCTTGCATTGCTTCCAGCCCTTCTAAGTAAACCTTGGCCCCTTCTCACAATCTCCCAACAACAGGAGAAAAACAGAAAGGAAGAAAAGAAATAAATTGTTTCACATTAAATAATTGTTATGTGAGACTTCTACGCGGTATGTTGGCTTCACTACAGAGACAGCCTAATCCTGTTTGTATGCATAAAGATTTCTGCGGGGAATATAAGATAACTTAATGTCACAAGATGTACATGTCAGCCTGTATGGTTTCCTATCTCATTCCTCCCCAGACTGACTGCATACAAGTAGTTCTCACTTTGACTTGATTTTCCACACACAGTTATACTGACTAATTTTCCTCTTCAGTGTATGGGCTGGACCTGGTACTTGGCCAATGACATGCAGTTCTTTGTCATCAGTCCATTGCTTCTAGTTCCATTGTTCTAGTAAGTTGCCGATAAAGATGTTGCTAACTTCCAAGTAATTAGTTTGGCATGAATGGTGTGCTGTCCAGTGATTGAACTGAGGTCAGTTTGTACTTGGCTTGAAAGTGTATGTGATGCAAATTTATGATGTCAGATGAATGTGTGTGTTGTGAAGTTGCAAAACCTGAACCTATTTCAAATTCACATGGCCTTTATATTTGCCTTAAGTGTAAGCAGTCCTTTAATCATCGGAAATTGTGCTCCAAATCTGTATTTGCCTGTGTCTTCTCAACCTGCATGCATGTTTTGTATGTCTCGTCAGTCATAAATGTTATTTGTACCCTGTCACCATCCTAAAAGCTTTCCTGTGTTTGGCTGGTTGAGTTTGATTGCTACACTTCTGGCATCATTCATTAGTACCGGTTTGATCATCGGTATCTATGACCTAAAAATAGACATACTGGACGTATTGACGTAAGTTTTTCTTCAACTTGCTTTCACTCTCTCTTAAGGGTATTTTGTCTAATAGTTCTAAGAAACCATGTTCATGTTGTATGTTGGAGGCCAGGTCGTTATGAGAGAAACTTATGCCTCAGAAAAAAATTGGAAAATGAAAAAGAATTTTGAAAAAGGACAAAGAAATGTAATAAAAGATTAAAAATCAGGAATTTTCCGTGCAAAAAAAGTGCTTTACCCGCCCCCCCCATAAATTCCTGACAAAGCCCATTGCATGGTGATAAGGGAAAATTAACCACAATGTGGTCCAATTGCAGTAATAACTCATCCCTATACTGTCATCATGGCCCAGGCATTACCTGCAACATGTACAGTGTTAAGATGTTGGAATGGGTAGCATGATCTCTGTTAATTGCCTGCATTTGAATTAGGTAACTCATTCACAGTAATACAGGTTGATAGAACAAAGTCCCACAATGAATTGCAAATCGTTTTTGACTACGTGTTGTGTATTTCTTATCCTAAGCTCTTATGCAGTTCCAACCCAACCATAGGATATCTGTTCAAAGTTCTATTTATAGCCCTTGCTGTAACAGAGGCCCAGTTCTCAGCACTTTATATGTACAAGTGTACCCCATGTGGGCTAAACAAAGTATCTGTAAGCAGGAAAGATTTTGTAAAATTCTGAACAGGAAAGGGTGTTGAACTGGGGGCCATTTGATCAAGGTTGTATGGTGTATTTTTAATCTGTGCCTTGGCTATGTCGAAGCTAAAAATCAGTCAATTCCTTCTAGCTTTCACAGATGCTGAGGGGCTCATGTTCACCAATTCCCTGGATTATTGTTGCATGCTTTTATTTCACCTCAGGGGAATGCAAAGTAATGACTATATGTCCTTGGTGTATGGCAAACCGTACTGCCGTATCTCTCCTTACCTGGTCGGTATTGGTCTAGGCTACATCATGCATCGCATTGGCAACCGCAAAGTGAAACTGAACCCAGTAAGTTTATGGTAGCACTCCAAAATCCCCAGTGAAATTCTTTCTCCCTCTTCTGTAAATGTGTGGGATATAACTTTGAAGTCCCCACAAGGCAGTCTGTTTTCGTTGCTCATTATGTGACTTGTCATTAAATTGAATTGTCTATCACAGTTTAGAGATGACAGTGGGTTCAAGAAATAAAACTGTCCTTACAATGGATGTCAGTATGCAGCCTCGGTTGATTTCGTCACAGAATGAGATCTGTCGGATCAACAATGTCGCCACCATTTCATCAGTACTGACCAGGAACATTGTCTGTGTCTCATCACTTTCCTGAGTTGGCATTGTTTAATTTTTTGCAGGCTTTGGCCCTGATTGGTTGGCTAGCTGCTGCTGCCTTGGCGATGAGTGTGGTATATGGATTGTATCCTAGTACCAAATCACCAATGTCTAGGCCGGCTTCTATTGTCTATGCCTCAGTCAGTCGTTTTGTCTGGGCGTTGTCCCTAGCTTGGGTGGTATACGCATGCAAGTATGGATATGGAGGTAAAAACTGTAATTGATTTGTAGTTATTTGTGAAGAGGATGTGTTCAGCAGCGTAGCGAAGGTATTTTCTTTGGGGGGGTGTGCCAGGGTCAATTTGCTGACTGGTCGATGTACATCAATAATTCATGACGTCAATTTCAGTGTCATTTGCCAACTGACCCTTTATTTGCCGACTGAAAAGAATTATTGGGGGGGATGCAACACCCTCCCACACCTCCCCCGACACCCCCGCTTACTACGCCGCTGGAGTGGCGGTAACAGTTGCAAAGCATTTGACAACTTGTCAAGAAATCCTGTTTTAAGAGCTGTGTTACCTTTTTTCTACAGTTGAACAGACTACTACAGTTTTTTAAAAAGTGATACAGGAATTCTTGACTTTGTGGGCCAACCTTAAAAGTCAAATGTACCTACAGAACCAACCCATGTTCATCTTTCTTCCCACACCAGACATTCCAAGCAAGTCTTATTAAGTGTCGAGCAGAGGTCTTTTGTGTGATGACCGTAGCCTCAATTTTTCTCAACTGTGTCATTTTGATTTCTTGATATTTTGCAGGATGGATTAACAGTTTCCTGTCCTGGCATTTCTGGGTACCTCTTAGCAGAGTCACCTTTTCTGCCTACTTGATCCATCCCATCGTCATTTTAGTGTTCTACGATAATTTTGCTAGCCCTTGGCACTTCTCAGTCTATTTGACTGTAAGTTTTTGCTTTAAATCAACAATGTTCCTTAAAAGAATCCCTAACCAGTTTGAATTGGATTGGGAAAAATTGGGTTCACTGCTTATTAGCAGCAGATCAAAGGTGGTCAGACATGTACTTGAGAGGAATTACAACTTTTCCTTTGGCAAAACATGTTCAGTCTAAAAAGTATGAAAGGTTCTTTATTTAAAGGGCAAGGACGAGCACAACATGAAATATTGACGGACATTTTCATTGACTCAGTTTTCAGAATTGTGGGGAAATTTAGGCACATTCAGAGCAGGTGTAAATCAAATCTCCTCTTGGTTAGACAATCTGGATGGCCTATGCTTTAAGATGATGAATTCATGCCTTGCATTGTACAGGTTATTTACCCTATACACTCATGTGGGGGATGGAGGGGTTACGGCTCTGTCTCCAACTTTGTCTGACTTACACCTGTTGCCTTGTGCCTAAATCTAATCCAGGGACATCAAATCCTTTAGCACGAGGCCAGAGGTTAGGACATTCGTAGGACTTTAAAAAAATTCCTCAGTTACAGATTAAGATGAAGCTGAAAAATGAAGCCATAGTTTGGAAATAGACCTGTAGGTATGTAACCTGTGGAAAACATTCTGATTTTGACTTAGTGTGCATTGATTTCATTTTTTTTTCTCTACTCAGGCTTTTTACTTTGCTGGCGTGGCATCTATCTCCTACTTCATTGCCATCTTCCTTGCGCTAGCCATCGAGTACCCCTGCGCTAACCTGGAGAAGCTTTTCCTTCCGTCTCTACCAAGACCTAAGAAGGAGGAAGGTAGGCAGGTGACACAAGGTGATGGAGTAGTCCAAGTGGTAAGGTCTCCACCTCCTGAAGATGACGGTTTCCGAGCAAGAGGCCCTACCCATGAAAATTGAATCACAATTCCAGTAGGATTCTATGTCAATAGCAGATAATGAGTCTCTCAGTTAGTGTACTAATTGTGCTTCAAACCTTTGCTCTGGGATTATCTCCTTTGTTTTACTTAACCCAGGAGTAAAATCAAGTCATCTTAAGTCAGTCATAGTCAATTAACTGCCTCCAAAACAATTGTTTGTTATATATATGGTCATCCCTGTCTTTTCACTATTCATAATCTGACTGGTAATTAACTAAATTTTACTTCTGATTAGCTTGTGACATTTGACCTGTGATTGGCTTTGTCACATTCGTGTTGTGGTATGGATACATTTATGGATTGACAGACAGAATATTTCATTCCAAGAGACAAGGCCGAATGAAACAAAACCAATTATCCTGAAAGGAAACTATTATTTCCATTCTGTGAATATGAAAAATAATTCTAAAAAACTCTTGAATATGTCCCAGAAAGACCCAGCTTGACTGTGGAATAGAAGATTCTATTTTCATGGAATAGAACTTCTGTTTTTTGTGGTACAGTCCTATTGTTTGTACAAATAATTCAGTGACATGTGATCGACGACTCACCAATCAGGTGAGAGGGATTTATAAAGGCCTTAATTAAAATAGATCATTCAAGTTTCACCTTATAAGAGCTGGGGGGGCGCCTTAACTTTTTTTTCAGGAGTTGAACCTTTAGGAGTTTTTAGAGTACAGGTCACTCCGTGTGGTCATTTTGACACCAGTGTTGTGAAAATTGAACATACCATTCTCGCACAGCACACATTTTCCGAATGTATACTTTTCCACTGCAGTGCTCAATGGACATGGGCTGGCATGCATGTAACCTTGAATTTAAAATGACTGTGACAACAAAGCGGTCCATTTGATGTAAGATCAAACGTCACATTTGTAGTGATAAGGAGTGTCTCTGCCAAAAATCGAATGAGGCACAGCCGAGTTCTTACTCTTAAGGGGTGAAATCTGCCCCTGGCTGTGAGATGGGCTAAAATAACACTGCTCTTGTAGGGTAAATCCTTCCTACTTTGTTCGAGTTTTAAAGAACACTGAATATTGTTGGATTGAGTCTGGTCAGGGTTTCCTTTTTGGGGCATTACATAGATTCAGGGTCCGAATGTGTGACATTTTTATGTCCATGTTACATGCAACCTATGTAATTTGACCTGGAAATACCATTGAAATTGACTCCAAGCTACATTTATTGTTTTGCAGATAATTCACACTACCAAATCACGCTTAGAAATTAAAGAATGTGTTCTACATGTAAATGTAAAAAAATCATGTTGGATCTGATAGGGACACCAAAAATTGGACTCCAAATTTATAGAATGACCCTTTTACGCTTCACTTCAGTATTCATACCACATTTTTATTCTAAGGAAGGTGTAAATGTAATTTGTTGCCGTTCATGTTACTCGTTGTTGCATTTTCATTGTTAAGATTGATGTTTTCATTTTTCAAAAAGACCTTAACCACTTCGTGCTGGTGGCAGTTATCAATGTTGATGATGCTGGGGTGGGATAATTTCTGTTTGCAAAATTCTTTAAAAATTGCCATCTTCATTTAATGGACATTTACACCCATACGAACTACTGTCTGGTGGCTACTCTAGCCTGACAGGCAAAATGTATTGACGCCCGAGTATTTCAGCCAGGCCTGCAGCCTCGTAAAAAGAGCCCAGCTTGTGCGGCGTTATGTAATTTTCTTTTGTTCACGAACCCGGCACAGTGCGCTGCTGACCTCTTTTCAATAGGGGCCAGATTAACGTGCAGCGGTGCTGTGTGGCTCATCGCTTCGGTGGTGGAGCACTTTTGTCCCTGGTGGTTATCTGCTCGCACTAAATGCCTAAAACCGTGGTATACTGTTTCAAAACAAGGCTGGATTATCTCCACTTTTGAGAGTATAAAAAAATCAGTAATGCCCAGCAGCCTGGTCTTTTGTTCCGAGTATGGTCTTTTGTTACAAGGCCCAGTTCCCTTTGTCTGATTTCGGAGACCCCGCCTATGCATATAAAGCATACATGTCCAGTTACCGGAATCCCCGGCAGGAAGTGGTTAAAGATCACTTTTATATATTCCTCATGTCTACTCAATTATTTTATATTCAGAGCTTTTTAATAACATTTTGTAACAGTTTAAAGCATTTTGCTTTTTAGATCAAACAGGAAAATTTCTGCAAAGTGACTGTTTGAAATGTATTTCAATATCTTCAATAAATTTTTCAATTACCTCAAGATAAAAGAATTTATTGTGAAATAAAAATTGAGATATATCTTTGTGTACGTACAGTATGTTATCACATTTGACAGTTTCAGGGATTGTAGAAAAAACTTCATGGACAGTCCATCTAAAACTACTTCCATGATGAGATAAATAAAAGTTTTGAATAACCAATGTAACAGTCAGACAATAAATCACATTAAAAATGAAAAGTACTGAAATTGTTGGAATCAATATTAAGTATTTGTCACATGGTATAAAACACTTGGAAGTGAAATAAAAAGTTGATGGCAAACCAAACATGAAAACCTACAAAAACAAACCAAATTGAAACCACTGAAATAGGCCTAAATTATGGATATTTGATTGAAACAATTTACTGCTTTATTTTATAATGGAACTATTTAAAGCTGTTTATGAATATTTTATATAGTATCCAAAGTACATTTTTTTTGTCAGAGAAATTAACAGCAAATATGTTTATGTTCATTTGCTGATTTCTGTTTCTTGGAAGTATAGTCATACAGTAACTGTAAAGGCATATAAACTTGAACAATATGCAATTTATATGTATCCAAAAAATGTACCTCACCATAATTTACGGCTACAATCAACTCATTCGGAGAAAGCTGCACATCTGCTGAAAGGAGCTGTGTGACAATGTTAATGGTGGACCGTTGTGGACATATCTGCTGAAATATGACAATTTATTTGTTTTTGCGAATAATAAATTTGAAGCTGAATGTTACCAACTCCAGATTTTACCATGTGACATTGCAAGTGTCGAACTCTGTGTCACATTCATGTGCCTGTCGTTGTTTGTGCTAGGTTGGGGGACGGGATTGGTGGTGGTGGTGAGGGGGGGTGCTGCCAGGCTGGGGGCCAGAACCAGTAAGGTAGGGTGAGGGGGAAGACGCTGCAGCTTAGAACAAGATACGCATGGGCAAACAAAAAAGATCAGAAAGTTGATTTCTTGCTTATTCATTTAATTTTACTTCAAAACCAGTCATTTACATAATGAAAGTAAGCAATGTATGAAAAGACTTGTTGAGTGAAGTTAAGTATTGTATATTCCAGGTGAGGTAAAAACTAGCAAACTGATTTCCCGGTGATGTGAAACAAGTGAAAATTCCAGGAGCGTTATAATATTTCTAAAACTAAACTTCACTACACATTTCAATGATTTCTACTGCCATTAACAGTTGAACAAGAATTAACTCTGGAAATGGTTACCAGCCCAATTGCCAGCTTTGGGCGTGGGGGGAGCACAGTACCAGCTAGAGGGACACATTAAAACAACAATAGATCATTTTCTATGCTAATGACTTTTGCCAATGGGGACAGCTGCCCCCCCCACAGCTTCCCAACATGTTAACACAAACATTTTCTTAATTTCCTAGTACATGTTTTAATTGTTAAAAGATCTAAAATGGAATTACAGGTGGATTTATCACAATGTAATTGCACACAGTGAGATAAAATGTGAATTATAAAATGCTATTATTTTAATGAAAGACTTGCCATCTCAGACACAAATATATTTCTTGGTGTTTCTGGCCATACAATTTTTAACATGTCAAGATTACAATGTCCCAAGCTACCCATAACCGTCAATTTTCTAATCACTGGTTCCTTGTCAATGTTATGTAGAGAAATGGTAAACTCACCAGAGACCACATCCTTCTACTATACACAAGCATGATTTGCTTGAAACGGCAATGCAATGATCAAAATTTTTCTTGTGTACAATAACATTGAACTCCCTGAGATGAGTATGGAGATGCATTGTCACATGGGAAAGTGTGGTTCACATAAAAGGTAAAAAAAAAGCCACAAGTAAGCAGTGAAGTCTGGGCTTGATTCTCTATGGAATGCAATAACACATGGCTATTCAAATATTGCCACTACAGAGCTAATGTATGCAGCATCTAAGATACATATGCTGCCGGGTTTCATTTGAAGTTGCATGACATATTCCCAGGGGATTTTAAATTTTAAAAATTCGTAACTTTATTTGCACATGAATGACATGTATGATGGCTACTCTAGTCTGACAGACAAAATGTATTGACGCCGAAGTATTTCAGCCAGGCCTGCTGCCTTGTAAAGAGACCCTAGATTGTGCAGTGTTACGTAATTTTCTTTTGTTCCCGAAACTGGCCCACTGCAGACCAGATTGGTATGCCACGGTTTGTATCGCTCATCCCTAGCCCTGGAGCGCTGGAGCGCTTTTGTCTCCGGAGGTACTCCACTTCTGCTGAATGCCACAAACAGTGGTATAATCATTCAAAACGATGACAGATTTCCTCTGCTATTGACAACTGAAAAAATGTTGGCAATTCCAAGCAGCCCTGTCTGTTGTTCCGAGTACGGTCTTTTGTTACAAGGCCAAACTCCTTTGTCCGATTTTGGGCACCAAGGCTTTGCATATAAAGCCAACGTCTCCGGTTCCAGGCTCACAGCACAAAGTTGGCAGTGATGGCATTCTTAATCTTTCAAAGTACATTTTGAGGTATACTTTTGTCAAAATATATCTTGTACATTGAGAGTACGGAAAAAATAGGTTATATTTGTACAAAAGAGCAATTACAAAACATGGACCTGGACATACATGAACATTCACAGAAAAAAAAAACCACAAAATGCCAGGCTTGAAAACCGTAACATACAACAGACTTCCACCGCCAAACCTTCATCTGTTGTCTGCATATGCAATAAGTTTATACATTTATATGCATTTGCAACTACAGCTTTGACCAACCTACAGGCAAAATATGCTGACATGGCCTAAGATCTTGTAACTTTCTTGTAAAAATGTTTTTTGTCAGGGATATACATTTGTTAAAAAGCCTCAGTACACTATATTGCATACTAAAAATTCTCTACAAAATATAACTCTGTGGCATCCTTCAAAATTTCTGAATGTTCATTTTGTAGTTCCACAGACCTTAAGATCAGTTCAAACTTTGTACTCTTCCTCTTGGCATTAGCTACATGTGCATCAATTTCACATTTCTTATAATCAGTAAAATTACTGCTAAAAATGTTTTGTTTTTGTAGTGCAGTGTTTCCCACAAATATTCAACTGCAAGATTTGTTACAGAAACAAGTTGATGACATAATTGCACCACCAGTAAGCTTCGCACCACCAATCTGTGGCACAGCTATGTGATAAACTTACTGTCAATATGGGCGATTCACAATAGTGCGCCATCAAGAGTTTGCAACACGTTGGCCAATCAGTATGCGCCAAATTTGTTGACCCTTTCCAAACGTGGATTGGGTCGACAAATTTCACGCATTGTGATTGGCCAAGGCGTTGCAAACTCTTGGTGGTGCACTATCGTGAAACGGCCGTATTGGTGTACAACATTTTAACTGTATCAAACATACTGGACACGGATGATCATAGCTAAGGTAGAGGGTTTGCAGATACACCGTGTGGAAAATATCTCTTTTGAGTATGTCTGATTCTGAAAAGAACCAGTTTCTCAACGTTTCGGACAGTCCTGAAGACAGACAAAGCACTCACTGTCCAAAACGTCGAGTAACCGGTTCTTTTCAGAACCACAAATACTCAAAAGAAATATTTTCCACACGGTGTATCCGCAAACCCTCTAAATTATCACATTCCACCATGCAAACCTTCAAGAGCTACATGATCATAGCTCTTACAACTGTTCTTTTCAATATAACAGCAGTCATCAAACAGTTGTTAAATTAACTATGTCCACCATTTTGAAAATAAGTTCGTCTTCTCTTCACAAGCACTAGGCAGAAAAAATCTCTTAACCATTAACTCATTACCTCTTATTAACAAAGTTGTACTTCTCTCATAGAAACCTTAAGTCTAGCAATGTTGTGCCTCAATGAATATCGTTGATAAGTTAAATCAATCATTTCAAATTTGTTTTGCCAAGCTTATGCTCCTTAAAATGACTGCATAAGTTTCGTCATAGTTTGTTGCACAAGTTTTGGACTTGATCAGTCGTTAACTTTCATGAAATGCGTTGTGAAACTTAAGCAACAACATGTACATATAGGTTAAGTGAAGTTAGGCCATTGCAAAAGGTTTTGCGAAATCGGTTAGAGATCTAGGGAACTCACAGAGAGAGGTTCTGTTGGTTTCTATGGTAACTCTCAATCTTCTCCTTTGGATTGTTGGGCATGAAGAGTTTCTCAAGAGCTGCGAATGGATACTCAACAGCGAGGGCAACAAACAGTGCGATCACGTACGACAACAACAGATTCCCAGCAAAGAAGTATGCCTGCCCAGAAAAAGAAAAAGAGACTTTTGGTTTTTGTTTTGATTCTAAACATGAATATGCATGTTGTGTAGTTGATCTACTTTGTATCTGGGTTATTTGCATGTTCGTATGTCAAGTAATTGTTACATGGTGACCTTTGTGCTTCCCGCGCACAAGGGCTGGTTGTACTTTGTAGACTTCCACCAGGAAAATAAGTCCAAAGATTATTTTAGACAACTGACTGAATCTATCAAAATTACGGTCATGTACAATAATAACCCCTTGTATTATGTGGTATTTTGGTGACGTGTTAATTGAAGCTCACTTTACTTGTACTATAATTTACTTGGTAAGTAACTCTTTGCGTATGAATACAAAAAAGACAGTATAAGAGACAGTCGAAGACTTTGGGTTGGCAGTGGAGTTCGAGTTTTAGAGGGACATGGAGAGCATGGGTATATTTTGATGTCAGTAGCACCCATTTCCATGTCAGTGTTGCCATAATCAATGGCGATTGTGTAGTACAGTCGACACGGAAACCCCCAGTGAGTACATGTACTTCTTGATTTTATTTGTGATATTGATGTGATATGATGTTTAAGGACATTGCCGTTCACTTTTAAGTATCCTATGTAAGCAACCATACACATGTATGTGTAGCAGGGGCAAATTTAACTTAGTTTTTTTTTCTTTGTACTCAATGCAAAAGTCCACGCACTGTATAGGAGTAGCACCCCTTAGTCTACCCATCCTGAAGTTGCATGGTGCCCCTCATAATTGTTTACTTGATGATGATTCATGCAACTGGACAGGCCCTGTGGGCATGCTTTGAGCCCCAGTCTGAGTAAGCAGGTTGGCAGTCGGTGAAGTGTAACACACCTATTTCATACTAGTCAAGTTCTGCCCTGAAAGCTCAGAAGTGGTGGACTTGGTAGTTAACGCTTGAGTTGAGTTGATCTGTAACTTTTCTCAGGTGCCGTGTTGGTTTTGTTGGTTCTTATTTTGCTTTTAGATTGGATTGGTCTTGTTTTAGATTGGTTAAGCCTTACCTTGATTCTGTGGCAGGTTTACTTTGGTCTAGGATTGGTCTAATTTCTAAAATTAATTGTGGTCTTGGTCATACTTCTCCTACATTTTAAGTTTTGCTTGTGGGGGGTGGGGTGCAGTGTAAAACAGCACTAAATAGATCAATCTGACTTACCATGAGGTACCTGGACTCATAGATTGGCGTCCCAAAATTCAGGTAGAAGGTCATCAAAACAATTGGATGGAACAAGTAAGCAGAATAGGTGAGACGAGCAAGAGGAACCCAGAAAGTCCAAGACAAGAAATTATTGATCCAACCTGGAAGATGGGTACACATGCAGGAGGAAACCATTCATTTCTGTTTGTCTGATTTCTGTCTGCTACCTAAACCTTTTCTCATTGAAGATCTTTGAAGTGACTTTCATGCTACCAAATAATTCCTCTGAAAATATGCAATACCAGTTTTTGTAATTTCTTATGAGGCTCTGTCCTTCATCATTGCAATTTGCAATTGTTAGCAATGTATAAAAACCCATGCCATCCAGAACCTAATCAGAACAATTCACCAGCTATGCTTGATTGGGACTCAAACCCATGACCCTTTAGCTTCTTAATGCTCTTTCAGACAACCAAACCTCTGAGTTCAACCATTTCAGCAATTGGAAGGACAAACAGCAAGCACCTTCTGGTTCATGTATTTTTCTTTGCTAGAGGTGGTAAGCATTCATACAATGGGCAGCTGTAACGCAATCGATAACTTGAAATGGAATTTTTTAGATAGTGTACATGCTAAGTCATGCTTGACAATTGAGGGGGCTGTTTAGTGCAATGTCTCTTTTAAAACCTACTCTTGTGTGTAGAAAGTTTGTGTACACATTTGAACCCAAAAAACGCGTAATATGATGTAGTAGGTTAGATGAACATTTTTTTCTGATATCTTATTTTGTGCTTTGTGAAGAAATAAACACAAATGAGGGGACATCTTCACTTGGCTTACAAAAAAATCTTGTAATGTTTTTATAAGCAATCAGCTGAGAAGTGTTTAGAAGACATCATTGCTTTGTTTGTCAATAAACAAAATTGGCATGACTTCAAAAATAAAGTCATTCTCTGTTGTCCTTTACATAAAATATATTTTCATGGGCTCTATTATTTACCCTCTCCCATCTGCCTGTGTGGATGAATTTCTAAATAGTTAATTAAGACAAAACAATATCCAAACAAATCGAACCTCACCTCCGTAGCCATACTTGCACGCAAAGGTAACCCAAGCAAGTGCAACACCCCAAGCATATCGACTAAGAGTTCCATAGGCGACTTCACCTGCCCTGGACATGGCGACTTCCGGCTTATGGTACGTCGGATACAACCCATACAGGACACTGATGGCGATACCAGCGGCAACCAGCCAGCCAGTGAGGGCAATAAACTTGAAGGGGGACAAACAACATTTAAGAGGGGTTAAGTTAACCTCAGGCAATTTAAGAGGGGTTAAGTTAACCTCAGGCAATTTAAGAGGGGTTAAGTTAACCTCAGACAATTTAAGAGGGGTTAAGAGGCAATTAGTCAACAGTTCAATTCAGTATCAAGCTTATTTTGTGACTATTTTCCAAATTCTGGTTTTGTCACAGATTTCAGCTTCATCATGGGATCAAAAAATAGTTTCACACTGGAATCAAATGGAAATCACCTATCTTTTTACACTTGTTAAGTAGAAAAGTTAGCTGTTTTTACATGAAGGGTCTCAACCCCGGGCTGAGTTCATGGAAATGAAGCCAAAAGGCAAAGACAGAAATAAATACAAGCTCTGTAAAACTAATTTATATCTGCTTTCACAGGTCTTTACCTGAGTTAGAAAACAACAGAAATTTTGAAAATAATTGAAATGGCCACGCAACAGTGAAAGTGTGTGGCTGCATACATGTATGTTCATATTGCTACAATTCCAATTTGTAAATTTATGGGTTTTGAGCAGGTACAAGTCACTCCAGGCCTTCTGTTATAAAAAAAACGAGACAACTAAAAATGGCTGGCTCATTTGAGATAAAGCATTCATTAATGGTGGTCCCTTCAAACATGACTCAGAATCTTCACATGCTACTGTGGTACAAGAGACAAGACTTCTTGCCACAACTTACCGGTGACATCTTGACTTTGCGGTTACCAATCCTGTGCATGATAAAGCCCAGTCCGATACCGACAAGATAGGGACCGATACGACAGTAGGGTTTCTCATACACTAAGGAATTATCGTCCAGACCGTAACCATTACTCCTGTCAAAGGGAAAGGATTAAATAAGCGATGGAATCTTGAAAACTATTTATATGGCCAGGTAAAAAACACAACTTGTGCCTTTTTTGTTCAATTGTTAGAATTGAGACTGAGGTCTCTTCAGAACTGTTAGAATTACTTCCAAATTGTACTATCACCTTTCTGAATTATTTTTTCAGGGAGTGACAAGTCTTTTACACTAAAAACACTGGGCAGTCAGTGTTAGCAAACATTTCCGTTTTTGCCCCCATGACTTGACACCTGGATAAAGCACTTCCCCTGTCTTTCAGACTTTTTAACCAAATTACACAAAATGGCCCAAACCTAGTTCACACACAAAAGATGTTTGTAAGTACTCACTGTGACTGGACCATACCAATAAGGTCCACTGAAGCATCGTATGATACCATAATTGCAACAGTCGCAGCCATGCATACAATACTTAACGACACCAGAGCAATCCAACCAATCACAGGAGCACTAGGAAGAAAAATCCATTCATGAGGAAAAAATGGCTGGAATGAATTCAACAATCTTCAAGCCAGCTTTAATCCTTGATTTCGTTTGATCCATGGAAACAGTTGGGTTGCTAACCCAAAAATGTTACACTTATGCTAAGTACCCAGTGTGCATACAATCCTTACGTATGGTGTTTATTTACACATACAACTTAAATTTCTCTGCTAACCTTTGAAATCTGTTTACTGTAAGCACTGGATTTTCTGCTGTTGTTAGCATAGAGTTTTTGCCTCTAGTAAGCTGGTATGACGCTGGCCCATGAACCCAACTTATAGATTGGTTGGTATGGCAACTATTGCTAAACTCAACAACAGCAGATGAGAGCCAGTTGCAATTTTTACTACAAGACATTTGGCTGCTAGCCTGTTTTTGGCAAGCTAATGTTCTGCATACTTAGCAACAGGCCTTTGTTTTGATTATAGGTTCTCTTTGCTCAATATGGAGCCATTGGAGGCCCAGGAAGTACCATAGAAAAGCTAACACGTAAAAAAATTGTGGCAGGTCAAAGAGGTCAATTTCTCTTAACAGTAAACATTAGTGTGCAGTTGGAACCATGATAAGTTTATTTTGGAAATCATGAGCATTTTTGTTCATAATGTCCTTTTATGGAATAAGAATTGATAATGATGCTTTGAAAAGTTAAAACTTACTAAAATAAAGGAGCCAGCAGAAATGGGCTGATGATAAAGAACTGCATATCATTAGCCAGGTACCATGCCCAACCAACACACTACAAGGAAAAGAAATCAGAAACCATCAGATACAGTCATTGATTTGTAATATTCATTTAAATATCTTCAATTTATTGAGGAATTGGCCTTACCAAAACCAACAATTCTGACAAATTCTTCAACTCACTTATGAGACTGTATCTTTGTCATTCTTTCGATGTCCCTCTACTGCTCATGAATATGGAAATTTGCATTAGTATAAAAACAGGCAATTATTTCCGCTCTCAAAATGTCCACCAAGTGGCAAACACAGGTAGAGAGATGATGGTATATAAAATGGAAAGGACTTTAAGATTTGCATGGTGGAGATAGATTAGAGAGAGGGCTTGCGGTAACACCATGTGGATAGATCTCTTATAGGAGAGGTGTGGTGCTGATAAGAACCAATGAGTGTGTACTTGACGTTTCAACCAGTGTGCACTGGTGCCCCCTACTCACGAGGACGACCACAGCACACTGTTCGAAACGTCAAGTAGACACATAACAGTTATCAGAACCATACCTCTTCCAAGAGAGATCTAATTCCACGGTACTACGCAAGCCCTCTCTTCAAAAAAAAAAGAAGCAAATTAAGTGTTCAATAAATTTGACTTTTGTTTCAACACAAATTGAACTTCAAACATTATTTTACTAAACTTCACCCCAATATGTAGAAGTTCACGATTCATGATCATTAGGGTCCATCAGAAATGGTACAGATGTGGGATATATGCAGCTTGGAAAACTTAGGCGGTTAAATTTCAAAATCTATATGTGATATACATGAGCACATTGTGAAATGCACATTCCTTACACTGTGTGAGATAAAAATGACAATATGAAGCTGTGATTTAACCACCCAGGTTTTCTGAGCCGCATATCTATCTCATACCATTATGTGTAGCATTTCTAATGGCCCTATGATCACATGGATGGTATACAGACCTGCGAGGCAAAACCCTGTGGGTAGAAATTGTTGATGTACAGGAGGGTAGTCCACCAGTATTTCTCACATGAAGTCCTGGCTGTATTTGTATACCAGACTGGGCTATCACCAAAGAATGGCTGAATGAACATCCACACCAGAATGGTCAGGCCCAGAACAGGAGTCAATCTGCATGACCGTTAAGCAACACAACATTTAAGAGTAAGTGTTACCTCTCTTTTTGTTTGTTGCATGCTAGCTGGAATGCCTCAATCTCCACAATTTGTTCAATGTCCTACCAGCATTCAAGTCAAACCAACAACTTCCTCTTTCACAAGTTGCCACGTTTGATTCGTGATAATCAAAAACAGTGTGTTAATCAGGCAGACAACAGTACACCTCTGTATTATGTGCCAGTGTTGATGGGACCAAGTTGACCTCTTCATGCCAGATAAAAGTATTCATTAGTTTCCAGCAATTTCCAGACGTATGCAACAAGTCGACCATGCAGTTGGAACAATTAACAAGATAACCACAATCAAGACAGCGATAGGTGGAAAGGCTTCCGGTAGCACCATGCAAAGGAATATATCTCTTATGAGTGTGGTTCTTTTCCATACATACTCATAAGAAATATATTCCTTTGCACGGTGCTACCGCAAGCCTTTCCCCGTTGCTGTCTTTCACCATGAATAGCCTGAAATTCCACAATCAAGACATCAAATCCTAAACAAAGGGCTCACTCTGCACTCAAAGAAATGACTGAGGCCTAAATGTTTGTCTCAACATATCTAAACCTAATTTAAGAAGCACTCACCTCCAGTAACGATGGAAATAAAACCACACCCAGGCTTTGACTGATCTCAATTCTTGCATCCGACTCAATGTCAAGAAGGAAACCAAGAGACCACTGTAGGGATGTTATTTTAAAACTCAAGAAGTCAGCATCAAACCGTTTTTTTCACTGAAAATTTCATCATACCCAGGAAGCTTTGTTCGTAAACTGAAACGACTATAAAATGAACCAACTCCATAGTTGATTAAAAAATTGACAAAAATATAACTGACCACAACAGGAATGGATATCGCGGCCTGCAACATGCAAGTACCACATTACTGCTCTATGAATATAGCCATTACAGATCCAGTAGTGGAGTGCAAGGAAGATACAGTCACAGGTTGAACATCAACAAAGAGTTGAGTCAACTCTCTCTGAAAATTCATTTCAAACTTACTGCAAAGGTTTACCTACATTTCAGTAAACAATTCCACTTGAAATGGTCAAATCCACAGGCACTTCAATTTGATTCTAAAAAAGTACAATAAACAACAAGTGACAGGCATTTTTCGCCTAAAAGGTTTCAATACTTGCCTGAGAAAAAAGAATGAATCCACAGCGAAGAACGCATTTAAAATAGCTTGAAAGCCAAAATCTTTGCTCCACTCATACACAACAGCACCGTTTTCTGATGAGACATTCCAAAAAGAGCACAATATCAACAAATGTTAATATTCTACAATATCTAATTTATGGGACTAATACGTTATTTTGAAATTGCAAGAAGTCGATATTTGGCTGGCTGACTCAGCCAACTGGTACAGATTACAAACAATGTACATGATACAGGCTGGATTAAGTCTCTGTAGGCCAAGGCAGCAGCACCAATGTCACGGCACTTATAAGTGCATGGAGCCTTGCATGTCATGATGATGCTTAGCTGAATAATCTTACACATTATAAGCTTTGTACTAACTCGTTTGAAGCTTTCCCAAAATCAATTATTCAAACACAGACACTACAGTTATGTAAATCTTACGTGTGCATGCTTATTGGTGCATTTATAAGAGTTTTAGGGCACACCAGTATTATTGTAGGCCCTTATATATTTCATTGGTCCCCTTATGTTTCACGGATGGCCTTGCAGCTTCATTGCCTTAAGTGCCTATTGGATAATCCAACTAATCATCTAACTAACTAGAGGAACAAATTCAGCATCCACTGAGAAGAGACTTATTTCTCAACAATGCTCAAAAGTTTATGCTCAAAAGTATATACAAGAAGTTGACTTCTTGTGTAGCAAGGATTGTCTTTTACGGCCACATGAATTGAGAATCAACTTTCAGATATATGTGTTTCATGGATCCAAGCTTCCAAACTTAGCCGAACGGTTTGACAAAGAGAAAGATATGTATCACTGGTTTTAATGTTGTCAAACATTTGATTTCATGTTTCACTACACATCGGCACTCAGCGGTACGGTTAATAAGCACTTACGGGTAGTATAATAGATCAATGAAAAGAACAGGGTGTGACCCAGGATGACCCACGTCATGCTAATGACACGGATTCCGTTCAGTGAACCGATGCTTGTGTCCTTCTGCCGAGTGTCTAAGAGTTTGGACAGGTTGCGAGTCACAGCAAAACAGAGAAAGAATCTAACCAGCAAGCTCTCTGCAAAGGAAGCGGCGACAACAGCATCGACATTACAAATTGTTGTCTAAAAATATGAATCATTATCCCTCTGGGTCATGAGAAAAGTGTTGAAATATATTAATCAGACTTTGTTAGTGGTAATGAAGAAACTCAAATTTATTATTATTGAAAAGAAAACAAACATCAATATGGACATCAAAAATTGTCTGTAAATGAGACCCCATTTCACAAAATCAGATTGGCATTGCTAGAAAAGCTGAGTTGATCAGTTTTTGGTGCTGGTACAAAAAGCAATAATAAAGTAGATTAAGTACAGCATACCTTGTTTTGCCTCTCCTTGAATGTTCCACTGACGGGAGGCTTCCTGTCCATACAAAGGCTCTACATCATCATAATAATCATCATCAGTTTGGTCATCGTCCTCGCTGCTGATGTCTTCAACTGTGCTTATCAGAGCACAATACAGCCAACGACCGTGTCGCTTGAGTTTCTTGGTGTCAAATTGCAGCCATTCATCATACAAGGAGCCAATGATCATTAGACCTCCTAAGACAGACAATAAGACACTGGAAATCCGGAGAAAAGAAATAAGGAGATGACTGATCACTTCAAAGACAGCTTATCTTGACACATTCCATAATCTACTCAGGGGGACAACTATCACTGTAAGGTAAAGACAGAAGACATCACACATCTATGATGTATGTAGAATTGGAGGTTTGGGGCCAACCATACATTGCACACACACGGGGGAGGGACATTTTACAAAGCACGCACTTCACAGTACGTATCGGAAGGCTGTTTCATCAGTAAACTCCCTCTTTTGCTTCTGTGAAGATATCACTTAGACCCAATTACTAAGCAGCAAATTGTCCTGAGCAAATTGATGTGCAAACCGAAAACCAGCTGAGAACCAGTCACACAAAACGCACAATGACATTTTATCTGGTAACCTGTTTTTTAGCAAATACCTGTAGTAAGCTTAGTAACCTTTAGTACCCTCGGCAAATATTTTCCTAGTAAGGAGGCATATGGATCTGTATAATCTATAGCTAGAACTACATCTTTATTCCACTGGAGATTCCCAGGGACACACAGGGAATAAATGTAGCCATACCAGCAGCTCTGGAAGCTTGTTTTGGACACAGTTTAAGCATACATGTACATGTAAGTCTCTACTTTGCATCTGAAATTGATCCCTGGGCAAGCTGAAGAGAACCAAACTTGAAAGGCACAAGTGGATCTGGGGGAGGGGGGACTAGCCCCCCATTTATCTTTTCTCTAAGGTGCCTTTTCCTTTCACAATGTTTTTCTCACACTTCAAATTGGTTATTTATTAACTAGAATTCAGGACTGATACTACATTACTTCTATGTTCAAGTTCAACCCAATCAGCCAATCCCCTTGTAAATACCAGGACTTCAGCTTTTTGTGAGTATAGATGGAACCAATACGGAAGAGTCTGTACTTACATGGTACATATGACTCCAGCGTTGTAGGATATCGGTGGAGACTGAGAGCAAATCACACTTTTTGGTGTCACTGCTTCCAACTCAGGATATTTCAGTTCTAGACGACCTTCAAACCAAATACACTGACAGGTTTATAAGAGCTTTCAACAAAATAAATCTTTTTTTAATAAACAGCCGAACAAAGAACATTGATGGTATGCACCAATATTACAAAAACATGGGATCCTTTCATCATTGAAAACACCAAAAACTTTACAAACTCTAGATGTAGGAATGATAAGATTGCTCTAAATTTGTTCTTGAAGCAAAAATCAGAATGATTTCCGATCAAGGTATACAAGTAAAAATTGTCCCCAGTATTATACATTCCTTTATCACTAAAAATCTTAACTCTCAAAATGGTTACCTTGAAAATATTGCAGTGCACGCATTAAGTCCTCATTGGAGCAGGAGACAGGAGTACATAATCCCCAACGGATATCAATGATTGGCACACCCTTTTTACAAATGAGAAAAAGGAGTTAACATCAAAAGTAGACAACTGTGTGAAGAATGACAGCTTCTAGTTGATAAGGCAAAGTAAAAAAAAAACATGTTTCTCGTCCCTGCCCACTTCCTTTTTGGAGGCCGCATGAATTTTTAAAATTATCTTTTATTTTTGAAAAATGCAGTAAAAAACACAGAAAAAGTCCACAAAATCATTGGAAAATAAATACTTGTGAAATAAGTGAGTAAAAGTTTTCAGTATAGACTCTGTTGGTCACTTTGTACACCCCACGCAAATCGATGCGCAATCGCAATACCCGTCTTGGTGAGAGTCTAGAGCAAGGCAAGTTCACCGGCATCTGTCTGCACATAGTGTATGTACGTGTACTTTGTAGCCAGAATGTGACCAGTATAGGACTCAAGGGCATTTCAAAACGAGTGGATTAGGCTTGGTCTTTGGTTTCACTGGTTCCTCTCAGAGCCTTGTATACAGTTTGGAATGCTGCATCAAATGGCTGGAATCAGAGTAGCCGACGACAAAGCCTAATCCACTCGTTTCAAAAATGCCCTGAGCTCAGGCTCGAGCACATGTTTAAGGAATTCACTCGCACTGCTGTAGTCTGGTTCCCGATCCCATTTTCATCGATGCATTCGGACTTAGAAAATTGCAGGGGAGGGGGCAGGAAATAGTCTAGTGCAGCCGATGTTTTCTGTCACTCATGCATGCATGCATGCTCATCATAAGCCTGCGTCTTGTTTTGTTTGGTTTCATCAAAGCGCAAGTCAACAAACTTGTCCAAGGGTGATGGATATATTGTATGTCACAAGTCCAAAAGGTAAAGTAGAAAAAATAAAGACTTGCAAATGTAAACTGCAAAATGTAAAGAAAAAAACTTGCCTCAAATATTTTTAATCAATCGTCATGTTTATGGAAAAACACAACCACGTTTTTATTTATAGCTTGGCGTGTACACTTGTAGGTTTTGAGAGTTGACATTTGGTGCTTGATTTTATCTGTAAAATTAACTCATCAAAAATAAATCTTGACTTTTGGCAGTTAAAACAAATGTATCTAAAACTGTTTATTGTAATCCAAAACAACACTTAACGACACCGTAATTGTGTTCAGTTCTTTTGTCCAACTTTGTCTTTCATTTCAACATGTCTTTGAACAGTGGAAACACTTACGGTTGCCGGAAATTTTAAAATGGCAGCCATTTTGAAAAAAACAAAAAATAAAAAGCCCCACTTCAAGAGAAGATAAGTCATCACAAGTTAGGAAACTGCCAAAGTTTGACTGCAACTTTTGCCAATAAGAGTTTTAATCGTGAATACGACGTTCAAAAATTTGACTGTCACTATTGGGAATTTTTTTCTAAAACATGCTATTTGAAGTGGATGAGGTGATCGATAAAGTTTTCAACATATTCACAAGATCTTTTCATTAAAATTTTTGATCAATGATCATTCGAAATTGTCAGTTGTTTGAAGTTGTTAGAAGCTTATGAAGAAAAATAGAAGATTTTTTTCCTACCTTGACACCCAGCTTGGTGGCATTAATCAACAGATTCGCCAGGCAGTAGTTAAAGCCAACAATTGACAAACACTCATCATAATTTCCCAGCCAAACAGCATCGCCTTCATATAATCCAGCATCAGGCTTGCCAAATGCATCCAAAGCTAGATGGCAAAAACAATTTTATGCACCTCCTGTAAATTGGTCCCAAGTTGCAGAAACTTTCCCAGACTCAATCCGGTTCTCAATCCAATATTTGTTTGAATTTGCTTTTCTACAAATGTCAGCATTTCAAAAAGTTGAAACCATTTGATGCAAAACTCATTCCCCCCTCCACCGACCCCAAACCTGGATATATGTCATGGCTGTAAGCCTAACCTTGATTCTAGCAACCTAACTCCTCCAAAATCCCAAGGCTAGCTTTGCAATATTATAATGGACCAGGATTACATAACCCAGCAAATAACGAATTGACCCGGTACTGTGCCTTAATTAGTTTCAAAAATTTGTGAAGAAAACATTGAATGTGTTTACTTCCAAGAGTCCAGGGGAACTTCCAAGTATAATAAAGATGGCCGCCGAGTTAGCCCCTTAAACATTCCAAAATTCAATACCTTTGAAGTTGCTGCCGAGTTTATACAGATCAGCCAGGCACAAAGAATAGGACTTATCGGAGACAGGTGCCTCTGGTTGAGACAGGTTGGCCTGATGCAGCCCATGGCTGAACATCTCCAGCACTGGCTTTAGCCGTTCCCCTAGCGATTGATTCTTCATTGTTACGAAGTCATTGCTACAGCTAACATTGATTACGCACAGCATTGATGCAAGCCACGAGAAAACAACTGGTCCACTCAGATCCATACTTGCTCTGAAATCAGGGCATAAAAAGGCCCGTTAGACAAATCTTGAAATGCTACTTGTTCGAAGAAAAGAAATAATACACTTAATTATAATTTGATAAATCAATCAGTGTTTAGATGCCTGCCTGTGTGGGTGTGCTAATCAGTTGATACGCAAGAGGGCTCAACCTTTGCATAATTGGTCAATCTTACTCTAGCATTTGCTGATAATTCTGCCATCAGAACACAACTATCATTTTTAATTCATTTTTTGTGAAAAACTGTTTAAAAAAAGGAAAGTACATTAGAGATTTCCAGAAGAATCGACCAGTTGTGCAGGGCAATTGAGTGAGCAAGTGGATTTGTTGGTTGCACCCAACAAGTCCAAATGTTGCACTAGTACTTCTATCAATCAATGTTGTAGTCGAGACCATCACAAGACCAGACATAAGACCATCACAAGACCAGACATAAGACCATCACAAGACCAGACATAAGACCAGACAGAAGACAAGACCTGACATAAGACCAGACACAAGGACCCCATAGTTCTGGGGGTATTTGTGTATGTGAGGAGAAATTAATAAATTTGTCCCTGTTGAGATGCCTCTAGTTAATTACACACAAGTTCTCAACGTTTATATGAAACTTTTTACACAAACTTTTGGCAATGAAAACTACCGACAGGAAATTGAGCCTATTAAGTAGAAGAGGTAATCCAAGTGGAAGGTGCAGGGCAGAATAGCATGAATAGTCAAGTTATTAGTGTGAAATCCTGGTACATGTATGTGTGTTCGAGGTAAACATACATGTATACACGATCGTGTGAAACAACGTTGAATACTTTCTATAGAATGTTGCAGAGAACTAAGACGAGGGTACCACATAGGGCAAGCGTATTCAATGATGGGTCGCTTCGAACAAGAGCACAATACAATTTCACTTGAATTTGAGAATCATTAGAAATGACCGATCTCTTGACAAAGCCCAGCATCCTAGTTGCTACAGAAACGATCGGATCAATGTGCTTTTTCCAGCTTAAATCATCTATACAGTCACACCAAGAATGTACTTAATGATCATCAAGTTTAAAAAGAGTATGGGACCATGGGCTTCAAACACATCAGATGGACAAACTACCATTTTTGAACGAGTCAAACACATCAACTTACACTTGTTAACATTAAGATTCATTTTGTTTAACTCGAGGAACACCCTGACACCAATTTTCAATACAGCCTTTATGTTACAGGTCAAGTCATTTAGTAACGTTTATAACGGGCCGATCGTCTTATTAGACATAAATATAGAGCAAGGAACAGACTGACTTTGGCTGTTCGGTTTCACTTCCAAACTTATGCTTTTTACGTACAAATGTGTTGGTGATATAGGCCTAGGCTAAATAAAATTAACACTAACCACTTTGACCTAAGTTTTAACATAACGATCATTTCACGAATTTATGTTTCCTAGCTGCCCTTGATGCTCGGATCCTCCGCGCACACATACACAGCTTCCGTGTGCATATCAGACTGGTTACGTCACTCACGTGACTTTCACTCACGGCCCAAGTCATGTGATTATACATAACCCGGCACTTTGTGGCTACAGCTTCCGCTGCTAACAGTGGAAAGCTACATGTACATGGTAAACAGCCACAGTCGTAGACGATAACTTCCCTCTTAACGTCTGCTCCCAAGAGCGCAGTGAACTTGCACCAATCCCATCACTTCCTAGATTTGTAGAAGTTATTACGTAATAGGGATACGTACCCGAACGAGTGACGCCTGAGGTGGAGCACTTTTCCTTCCTCTTCACACCAAAATGGACTTCTACAAATACTCGATTATTCCACGTACAGTCCTTGAATGGAACCAACTCCCGCACTTCATCTTGGAAGCCACCACTGTCGACACTTTCAAACTCCGGCTTGTTAACCTTGGATTACTGTCTGCGCGTTTGCGCAGTACGAAGCAGAACATGGTCCTTGCTCAATCACGAGACTGGGGGAAGGCAAGGATGGGCTACCTGTTCACCATGCACATGGTTGTGGTGGGGGCAAGTGCAAGAGGAAGCGCTGCCCATCCCGGCCCCCTTGGAAAACAAAATGATGAAGAAAAACGGGGAAAAGAGAGAGGAAAGAAAATCACCAAGAGTAGTGTGCTAGGCGAGTTTCAGACCACCGTTTTCCTCGGGTACCTACCCGACCCCCCAAACCAAACTTTCTTTAACCTCCCCAACGATCTGAGACAAGGATATGCAAATATAGGCCTTCATTAGCATAAGAATAAAAAAGCATCAACATACGGATTAAAATTGCAAAACAAAAATTTAAAATCAAGTTAACTAAAACCCAAAGATGCAGTTTTAAGGGTTTAAGTAAATTTTAAAAAAATATTTCTATTTCCTGGTTCCTTTAAGTACCGAGGTAAATGTCGGGCTTTGCTTTCTGTTATAAAAACATCCTCTAACCAACTTATTCCCCACCGAGAATAAATTACTACATTGTAGACTCGAATCCTCGGCTTGTTGGTTCAGAGAATAACGCTCTTCTTGCAGCACTACCATGCAAGTCAGCTGAGAAAACAATTTTGTTGTGTCTTATACATATACAAAAGTTTGCGTACCCCATTTATGATAATTGCCCCCAATCTTCCTAGACGAAAAACGCATGCGCTACAGTTATGATACGCCCATGTTATTATAATTGCCCCCAACCCTCCCAGACAAAAACGCATGCGCTACAGTTATGATACGCCCATGTTATTATAATTGCCCCCAACCTTCCCAGACAAAAACGATGCGCTACGGTTTTGATACGCCCATGTTATTATAATTGCCCCCAACCTTCCAAGGAAAAAATTACGCTACCGGTCCCTATGTTCGGAACTTTGTCTGGAGACAATGTAAAGGAACCAGTCTAGCCTGTCGACAGACTAGACAAGAATGGCTGCTGACAGCTGTTAGCAGCCATTTTTAAATAAATGACATCCCTCCACTTCCTCAGACTCTTTGGACAATTTTTCTATAGCATTTGTGTCTACTTTGCCCTGATATGTGAACACGTTAATCTAGAAAGTTGATTTTGGGCCACACTTACACAATCCCACAATTTCTTGGGCTGCACAAAGGCTCATCATTTCAAAAGAAACTACATGGCCCAGCGGAGAATTTGCCTTGAATACAGGCGATTTACAGTAGTGCGCCACCAAAAGTTTGCAGCGCGTTGGTCAATCGTAACGCGCGCAATTTGTCGACCCTTTCCAAACGCGCATTGGGTCGACAAATTATGCTCAATGATGCTGGTAATGAGACCAAGATTGGCCAACGCGTTGCAAACTCTTGGTGGCGCACTATTGTGAAACGGCCGTATTGGGACAGTGCACCTATATGCCAAAGTTCCTTTTTGAAAGCTGCAGCTGCAATGTAATAGCCGCATTTGACTTTGACGGGATGTTGCTTTCTTTCTTCCTGCTTTGCTAACACCAAATTCTTGCGAATAC